GACAGGATATAGGAAAGGATAGCTGGATTTTTTGTTAGTCGAACATGTTAACATTTCATTTAGCTTTGCCTTGTTTGCGACCTCGCCGAACAAGAAAAAAAAAACAATTCCTGCAATGTTTTGAGTTCCTTCCACCAATCTCCAAGATTAATTCCCTATAAAAATAATGCGGCACCATAGAAACGATCATGTGTTTGAAAAAATGTTCTTTGTAGGGCTAGCATGGTACACTCGCCGTATTAAAAGCTGAAAGTGAAAGGCAGAAAGCATGGATTTTACTTAAATGCATGGTACCTAAAAGTTGGCTAAAAGTAAAATTTTTACCATCTTGATAACAGATATCTTGTAGATGCTACGTGAGCGGAAAATACCCTGCATAATAAGAGTCCAGACACGAAATGAATGCAGGTGTGTTTTTACTTTGAGAAGGTGGGATCTACTGAAGATAAAACGGCAGAGGAAACTTTCGCTCTTTAGCTATTGGTGCTTAGCGAAGAGGACTTCAAGTTACTTTGCTTGAAACACTGTGGTTCTCTTTGAGGCGTGGTTTCACAAAATAGTAATTTATCAATTTGCAAGGACCCAACATCAACACACGGACCAACAACACAATGTTGGCGGTTCCAGAATTTAACTTCATGTCATGCCAAGAGTATCAAAAATCCTTCTAAAGCTGGAAATTACATAACTACAAGTTTACCTGCCTTGTATTTTCAATTCTTGTTATACTTTTCTTTTTGAAGAACTCGACTCGGAATCAGTGCCTGGCGTTGCATATTATAATGGTGATGTTTACCCAACTTTTCGTGAATGGGGAAAGGAAATCATCTCGATATCCAAAATTTTACATAATATTTTCGTTTTCATCCACAGATAAAACTACAAATAAATTAGATTAAAGAGTGCAAGTTAGCGATTTTTAAATAAGTTTTCTTAACTTCCTTTGAAAAAAATATTGATATAGAGATATCACGCTTTTCATTTTTCATTTCACTCCAGGAATTTCCGTTACACAAAGCAGGGAATATGAACGGGGCTCAAGGTTTTGAGAGAATTTACTAATAATTCACCTCACGATATTATTTTTGAGTTTGAAAAGTCGCGGTACAGAGGTGTGTTATTAGTTCTAGGTTTCTCTGAACTTCCACACCATATAAAAACTTATCAAAATGACAACTCTGAGGACCATAGTGAAAAGATTTTAAAGAAACTTAAAGGAGCACTGTTTTGCTTACTTTGAGTGTGCTCTGCAGCCTTATTGGATAGGAGAAACTGTCATGACAATCCACTGCATAATTTTTGAGGTGACGGTTAAACACTCAGTATGCTTACCATCCCTTTCTCTGCTTAAAAAATTTTTCCTCTTGTTCTTGTGATTTCTCTTTCTGCCGGTTTAAAGGAAAAATATAATAACGCACATGCCTATAACCTTGCACGGTGTACGATTTTGACTCACATCAAAGAGATGAACCCTTGAAAACATCGGTAGACGATACTTTATCCCTAACACTAATATTGGCGCAGCATGAATGATCTTCAGAAGCTAGACATGTCAAAAAAACTCAGTCAGTTACTTGACTTAGCAATTTGAAACCTGTCACACTGCAAATAATACAGAGATGTTTATATAAAATAGAATGACAATGGGGAACTAATTTTAAAGCTATAAAGATAACGATTTGCGAAACCCCGATTGAAGTTGAATTTTATTCCTCTCAGAACTTCGATCGATGTTAATTAAATTCGAATTGGTAGTTTACAACCATGACGAACTGAGCTCAGATTCGCCATCATTGTGCCTTGGCCGATGATTGTTTTGGCGTGAAGTGTGTGACAATTAAAAATGTTCTTCATTTGTGTAAGCTAGCTCGAGCAAAATATGTATCCCCCTTGCATTGGAGACGTTTAAAGAAAGATTATGTCGGAAATAAACAGAAAGATTTGAAACTCCTTGCAACAGTAATATTCAGTGTAGAAGTTTCAGATTATTCGTGAGTAATGAATAATTCTGTCACTTCAGAGAAAGATAAGTTAATACTTTTTGTTACCTTGGCAAGTTCGAAAATTATGATATCGACCCAAGTAAACTTGTGAATTGCAGTCTTCCTTGGGGGACGATTTGTACTCAGTTTTGTTACGTATAGGAACAAATCCAGCCTGAAATTACAGCCATGATTGCGCAAACGATCTTGTGATATTTCCTTAAAAAATAGTCTGATATTTGTTATACTTCATAGTACGACGTTGTCGCACCTGCGTTTCATTTTGTCTTCCGACGATTTGTGTTGTGTTATTCGACGCATTGTCATTCAAAAGGTGTTTTTGACACTTTACCTCGTATATTTGAGTAAACTTAATCAACCGACCTCACCTCAAATCGATTACGAAGCCGTAGAATGAAGCACAACAATAACAGCCGGGGAATTCCAAGTCCACTGATAGATCAGTTTTTCGCCTGGTGTTATCAAAACAAGAAAGCAAGAGTACAAAATTACGACTATACAAGCGACACGAGATAATGTTCATCACTTGTGCAGTAATTGATTTTTTGAAGCGTGGTTTGGAGCCATGCTGGTTACGCTTGATTTTATTGGCCTTGAGTAATGCCCCTGCGGATTGCACTCTGATATCATTGAATATCGCAAAATGAAAGAAGAAAAAACTTAACCTTAAATTGATGACGTTTATATAAAGCTATTGAACTATGTTAATGCAAACAAACATAATACAGCTGTGATCGAACCTATTAAATCCTTTGCAATTAACACAAAGAGAAGACAGCCTTGAAAGAAACGTTGATTTTCGCTCTATCGAGGTAAAGTTTTGTATTAGAGTCGAATTAAACTTTAAAGTTCACAAATATCGGCCAACTGAAATAGAATTAGAAAGAATAGAAGCAAACTGCAAAAAACAACACAAACTTTATTTAAACTTTAATGGTGTATAATGGAAAGGGCTGTTGATCACTGCTTTTGGAAGGATGTGTAGTACTGTCATAATTGAGTGTTTTTCCTCAGCGAGTAATATTCGCCAAAATAAATGAATTCTTTTTCTGTAGAAATACTTGAATAACTCTATGCTTAATGACTTAATGCTTTCATGTGCGCAGCCGTGGTATGTGTTGTTTTCTACGTTTTAACAAGAAGTTTTGAGCTAAAATCCAAGTTACTATGGACATTTAACAAAAACATTCGACGAGAATTACAAGTAGGCGATTTCAATATTTCGCCGTTACCCATGAAGTGATACAAGAATTGAAAAGACATGTGACATTTTACAGCAAAAAAAATGACAAACATTGAAAGTAATGAAAAATTAGTTATAAAAAAAAAAAAACCACACAACAAAACAGATGTGGGATGTCGAACTCAACTCTCCCATTTTACCATTATGGTCATATCACTGAAGTACATCAATTATCCACGAAATCTTTCTTGTGCACTTCCACTCGTTTAACTCCACCCGGGTTTTTTTTAAAATCAGTTTTGAATGCTTTTCTAAGATAAGGATGCTATGCTAGTTTTTCCGGTTCTTTGAAATTAAAGTATGTTTCTGTCAAAACGCTATCAACGTAAACTTTGCAAATTTGTTTAGTCAGTAGCTGTCAACAAAACTTTGTTTATTTGCTCGTTGTTATCTGTGATAGTGGGCTGCATTCTGTTCACAATTTGGTCTGTAATAGAAAACCTGACAAATATAAATTTTTTCCGTTTTATAGATCAACAAAGTACTTAAAGCAGCAGAACTGTATTGCATATTAAATGTTAAAATTGAAGTGTTTCTATCGTCGATACCATTTTGTAATAACAAAAGTAAACTAAGATGTAGCCCAAGTAACGGAAAAAGTCGAAAGGAAAAGTTCTTTCTCGGTAAGAAACTTGTCGATGAATAATGGTCAATGACGACCGCTAAGTTAGCTTTGCATCACATCAGGCTACTCCGCAAAAGGTACTATGATATTATTCAAGCTTCGTCTTCCCTAATCTAATTAAACTGTGTATGAAGAACTCCTGCTAAGCTTAGAATCTTGCTCGCCGCAATTTCGTCGGAAATGATTTTTGATTTTTTGTGTGCATCTTATCGTATTGTTTAGTGAAAGTTAGGAGAGTCATTCCTTCTTGCGTCCATCCGAATCCATTTGCAAAGGTATTACCAAATTTACAGATGTTTAGAGAAAAAAATTGACTATAATTTTAAACCGCAAAAAGGGATGAAACGAAGCGTAAATTACTCTATGCAGTTTTTTTTCTTAAATACATGAAGAAAAAAATAATAACAGATTCTTACCTCCTTTATGAGTCTTTTTGGTGTCCTACTTCGAGTTCCACTATTAATCAACCACAGTCCAAACAATCTGCCACTAAATAATTAAGATATTAGAGTTGGCACTATTGAGTGTTTGTAGACACTGAAGTGGGTAGGGCTAAATGCTCGCACTAATCCTCATCTCTACTAATTACTTCTAAAGACTCCTCATTGGTGTCTGTTTGCCAATGAGTTCTTTGTAGAAATGAAATGGTGCTAACTTTTTCAGTTTGCAATTACTATTAATAATCAAAGAAATCTATCATTATCACTTGCTTGATTTGGATTTTTTTAGTTATCATTTCTTTACTGAGTGTTAACCACCAAAAGAAGATTTTCGTAACAACAATTCGCTTCGCCTTCTTTCTCTGACATCACCTTAGTACTAGTGTTAATTGTTCAATCGGCAGAGCAGTCTGAAAAAAGGGTTTCCTTTTTTAGTTTTAATTTGAGGAATGGTAATAACTTATAATATAGTACATTGTTTTCCAAGCTCATAGAGAATAATTATTTGATTTGCGTCTATGTTTGTTTTCTCAGTTTTGAAAACTGCTGAGCTGTTTGGCGTCCATTCTCATGAAGGACAAACTGACGAACCTTTCCCACGATGAAACAAACAACTTTGTCCAATTGGCCGTGAGGAAACTGAGGCGACCCAAGAAACTGGGACTAGATTGGCGGGAACATGAAAACAAGATGGCGGCTGGTGGTTGAGGCATGGAGCCGTTCATTCAGTTGAGTTATAACGAACAGTGCCCCAAGAAAACTGCCAAGCTTCCAGAAATAGCATTAGTCAATAAAAGAAAAGTTCCTGAATGCTTTTGGCTAGCTTTGTTGGAGAGAAAGTGCCCAGAAGGTGCGTATACGTTATGTGATTTGTGAAGATTTTTTGGGTGATTGCAACGTCGGTAAAAGTGCTCAAGGTCTATTCGTGCGTCTATTCAAACCCGCCAAAATTTCCAATAAAAATTCCAGGTATAGCTAGCTTAATGCTCAATAAAGATAAATGCTAGTCGGTTATGAAGGACAGGTTAAATGGTTTTCATACACTACGAATGTTACGCAAAATCGACTTGTGTATAGTTCGAGGTAACAGTTATGAAGTGAACAATTATTCATCTCTCCCTTTATCCTCTGTGTGCCCAAAGTAGTTGTTTGCACGAAAATTTTCAGTTAATTTTAGCCTCTCAACTTTTCTTTTCACTCGTAAGATTAAATCAGTTCAAACGAACTTTTAGTTGCAAAACTGAATCGCTAACTCATAAGCCAACATTGTAAATTTTGAAGTCGTCGCGAACATTTTAGACACCCAGCCTAGGTCGGCAGACATACATGGAAAAAACCTTAAATTACCTTCTATGTGGTCAAATCACTTAGTATCAGGCAACAGCTGGGATGTTTTGAGTCAACCTTGGAAGTAAATTGTCACTATTGAGGGTATGCACATAGTTCCAGTGTATTTTGGTTTTCAGCAATCTCTTGAATATAGACTGAAACTGTAGACTTGTGTTGCATTTTGAAGTTCTCATGCACTGGAAATATTGCAGTGTTTATCCTGGTTTAGGAAAAGTTTTTTTCCATATTTAGAATGTGGCTAATTTATTTGAAATGTTAATTTGGACTAAATCAATTTTGCAAATTGGCAAGTAATCAACAGCTTAGAAATAGTTGTGTTATGGACTCCTGAGATGATAATTTGAGCCAATCAACCATTCTTTCCTCAAAACTTTCAAACAAATTATAATCATTATGAACTGTTCAATCATGGTTAACAAACTTGACATCATTGTCCTTCAAACCTGGAGGTGAGGAAGTATCATGAGAAGAAAACTAGGTCCCTCCATTTGTAATTTGTGCAAATATTGCAGCTTCTCCCTTATTTACATTCAGACCCCTTTGTTTCTTTTATCACACATGTACTGTTACCTAGAAATGCAGTTAATTTTGTTGAATTTGTTGAGCATGCATAAAATAACCTCACATTTGATTTTACCCCTTTTTTGTAGGGCTTGGTGAAGTTAGTGAAGGATTGGTGAATGATGAAAACCTTACACCAGCAGACTTTCTCGATGATCTGAATGTATCACCAGACATTTGTGCCTCCCCACAAACAAAAATCAGCAATGCTTGTTGCACAGATTTTAAGACAGAGAATGGTGATCAGTTTAAGACACCAGTAACCTCAAGATACAGTCACAAAATTACTGAGACACCATGTTTATTCTCTCAGGATGAATCAACTACATGTATTTACAGCCCAACATCAAGTAAGTATTCCCGATGTCTTGACATGAAATGAATATGTTGTATTTATTTTTCTTTGAGAGATCTTGTTAATGAAAATTACAATCTGATTGTTTTATTTGCACAGTTCAGTTTTTCCTAACACTACCTACATTATACATGTAGAGCTTTTAAGAGTTCTTGTACTGGTCTTTCAAAATTAGAAACAATTTTCCTGTATATAAATTTAGGCATTTAAAACATGAAATCTGCTACTTTATAGACTGAGGTAAACAGCCCTTTCTCAGTTTGCATAGTTTTCTGCTCTTGCCAAGCAGCATGCACTGGGTGGGGAAAAGATGAATTGTTGTACAAGTGATTTCAGTTGGAGAGAAACAAAATTGGGTAGCTAAATTACTGCCTCAGAGTTGTTATGACATACATCTAGTGAAAAACTGTAATAGTAGTCTTGAAAACACTGTGAGAGGCTACTTGCCCAAGCCCATTTTCAAGCATTAGGTCACAAGACCTCAGTCACATTTGTCATTATTTGGACTTCAATGTTGGCAAATAATAATCTGTATATTTGCATCTGCATACATACATTTTTGTGTTACAATACAACACATTCACAAATGTATGTGCATTACAATAGCTCAACTTCTGCAGAAGGGTTGGGAGTCACATGATACTCCTGTCATTATCATGGCAATGAGCCAATAAGTTTGTGAAAGTCTGTCACAATCTTGCTTCAACCCTCTGACTTAAAGCATATGTTTCCTTTTGTCCCAGGGTATGCATTTAAATTATAGTTGATTGACAGCATTTAAGTCTCTTGAGTGTGTTTACTTCTTATGCTGTGTGATGCAAAGTGTGTGTTGCACACACAATATGTGTGTAAATCACATCCATGTAATGCTGCAGTACCATAAATTTTTGTGATAGGAATTTGCATAAATATTTGTTATGTTAAAGTGAGGAACATCAGATAAAGCTCTTTTATCACGGCTATAAATAGAAAGTGTGCAATTGTGCATGCAACTGTTGCATGTTTCTTTCTGTTGTTATGAACTTGAATCTACAATTTAATTATAATCCCAATAATAATAATAATAATAATCCCAAATAGGAAAGTACATTAAAAAACATGTTATGGTAAACTTCACAAAGTTTCATTGAATTTTGTCATACTTGTACAATCTTAAGTGTTTTATGTTACCCTTTGTCATAAAAAAGGTTTGAAGTCACAACCTACCGGTCATGGAGATGAACTGTTCAATCAAGCTGAAACAAGCACTGATCTTTCTCAGTCTCCTACCACTCCAGTAGCTTTATCCAGGTACAAAAGTGGAAGTGATTGGTCTGCAAGAAGAACAACATCGCCAGACATTTTAGCAGAAATACTGGTAAGAGAATGCTAGCTGAAGGGAACAAGTTGAAAATTAATTAACTGAAAAGGGGAGGCGGCTGTCCTTGTATGATATGTATGTACTCTTAATTGACTACTTCCCCAGTGGAGCTTTTTAAAGGGAAATTTGAACAAATTGGAAACTGGCAGGAGGCAGCCAGTTGGCCATATACAAGGCACAGCCAAATATTTGAACTTGAGGCAAAAAAAGCAAACTAATGAGTAGCAGGTGATAGGATTTGAACCCAGGGCCACTACATCACAAGGCCAGCACCCTAACCTTTTGGCCACACTGCCTCCCTAACATTTTGAGGACTTACATTACGTCTCATCCTTTGCACAATTTGCACATCCTTTGCTTTCGGACAAACCTCCTAAGAAAAATAGTGTGGAACAATTTTCTGGTCTTTGCAAAATGTTGCTTTGGTGAAGTCCTATCATACCATGAAACTAACTTACTATAAAGAAAAACGAACTACAAAATCAAACTATTAACTAAAAACATTGCCTAGTTTTTCTACAGGTGTATTGGCCACATCCAAACGTACATGTGACTGTACAACTTAGCCAATTTCAATTTCTTTATGAGCATGCGCAGAGTGCCAAGAAGTCATCTAATTGTAATTCTTGATCACCTGCACTAGGTGTAAAAATTTTTCTTGAAGGCAAATTCCTCGATTTTTAAGTCTCTTTCAAGACTTCAATTGTTTATGAAAGTCCATAGCATTTCACTGAACGAGTGGCAGTGTTTGAAGCTCTTATTCTGGTACTTCGATTCCTCGTGGGGACTCAGAATTTTTTTATTTGTCCCACGCTCATGACAAGACGAAAAACATCTTTCTCAAAATTCTTCAGTTGTTACGTGGCTGTTAAGATATCAGTACACTGCAGCTGGACAAAGTCTATAACTCTTGTTCTTTTTGCGACTGGCAGAGTTTCAAGCTCTCATTCTGATAATGTTTTGGGAAAATATTCCTTCACAAGAAATTCTTCACTTGTTGAGTCTAATGATCATTTTAAAATGGTTGGTAAAAGTCGACGTTAATTTTTGGCTCATCGATATATATATATATATTTTTTTTTTTGGACATTCTACATTTCAGTGCACGTCATCTTGGGTAGTTTTTCCAGTTAAAATAATGCTATTATTTAAGCACCATTGTTAAGAACGAGGAAAGAGGTCAAACAGAAACAGTGCAAGTGCGGTGAAGTCGAGTAATAAAACAAATACAGTTTATGTTTACGGGCGTAAATATGTTTTGGGCCTGACTTAGAGTCATTTTAGCTCGAGCCGCCAGGTGAGGGTTGAACTGAGTTTGGGAATATTTATGCCCAAGAACATAAACTGTATTTTTATTATTATTAAAATAATTACAGAAAAAATGACCAAAAATACAGTCTGAGCAATAAAAAGAGTGTGATTTTACTCTGTGGTTCGCCAAAATCTCTATTTTAGTCTGTAAAATGCCATTATGCCCGACAAAATGATGATAATAAGTTTTTAAGTTAAAAAAGGTGACTTTCAGTTGAATTTTAACGCTTTCCGACATACCCCATTTAGTGTATGGTGCGTGAAAACGTATTTCCATTGGAAATCGAAGCTCCTTTTCCAGGTATTTAATATGGCTACAAGAACTTGCAAGAGTATATAAATGCGATACCTCCAGGGGCATGAAAACTCAAGAGTCAAAAATGCGTAAAGGCTCTTCAAGACCACAGCGCATGCGCTTTACATTTATTTTATTCACTAGATCCGAAAGGGTTTTCCAGAATTTCTTGACAGTTCCGTCATCACTCAAGTCGACCGCCTTCGCCTCTCAACTCCTTTGGCAAGTTTGTCGTGTTATTTTCTCCATTAAATAAACCTGTCGCTGATGTCTTTAAATTGATTCGAGCTTTGTTTACATTTTTTAACGTAAAATTGAGTATGCAATTTCCATGTTTAGGTTAATGGGAAACTTCGAAAAAATTACTATCGATGACAATTACAAATTGCGGTTTTTTACATTATTTGCAATGATATGGGGTGAAAAGTAACGTGGCCTTTCCTTTCCATACGTGGAAAACGTAAAATTTTCGATTGTTAAAGATCGTGTTGTTCTGAAAATTTGTTTTTATGCTTTATTCAGTATACATGCAAACAGTCACTTGAAAGCTCTCAGCGCTAAAGAGAACTATTCGACTGACCATTACGAAAATTTTTTTTGGGTCATGAGCAATATAAATTACATGAGTTTTGGGTTAATTTTTTGTCTAATTATCACGCAAATAGAGAGTTATTTGATGCATTTTGGTGAAAATTGAAATTCATAGTGCTTTATGCGATGCTGGCATAATACTAATTTAGTTTACCTGTCTCTGAGATTTTTTCTATTTATCACGTAAATGAAGAGCTATTTGATGCATTTTGGTGAAAATTGAAATTCATAGTGCTCTTTGCGATGCTGGTATAATACTAATTTTGTTTACCCGTCACTGAGATCAATAAGAGAGGAAATCACGCGTTTTACGTTCTTGAAATTTATTCATATTCACAAGTCCCAATTAATCGTTTTACCAATGGACTGTTATGTCAAACATCTGTCTTATGTTTGTGTACAACTTGTTTCACAGAGTCGGAGCGATTTATTCTAAGACAAAACAAAAAAAGTGCGGTATAGGTAACTCCAAGAAAAAAAAAGTGAATCTATCGAAACGATTTACAGTTGTATGTCTTTTGCCATGATGAAAGTGATTGTGGACCATATTTTTAGACCGGTTGTTTTTTTAGTGTAGTTTCTCTATGACTGTCAAGAAAATACGTTGATGCCTGCCAGATTTTGTCTAAATTACGTTTACTGTTGGTAGAACTAAACCGACTTTACACAGTTAAAATGATGAAGTATTCAGCACGGAACAGAGTACATGCGTTTGATGCCCTGAATCAGCAGGGAGCTGGATTGAAAACTCTTGGTTATTGGGAAGCGTTTTTGTCTTTCCTTCATTGCTTACTGCGCAAATCTGCTTTCTATGTAGTATGTGATAATATTTACAGTTAATACTTACCCTTGTTGAAACGTAAGCGTACGGGAAAAGGAAAATCAAGTCATCCGTTCCTTCCAGAAGCTTCTCGGTCGATGCCTTTGTATCTCAAACAAACTCGAATATTTATAGTACGTCTCGACTTTCTCTTGGTTGATTATTTCAGTAGTAGGATTGTGTGTAAACTCTCTCTTTTTTTTTACTTATTAACTTTTCCCACTCCTTTCCCTCAGGGCCAAAGAGAACCCACTCTGTCGCGCCTGTTAGCTGGAGGTCATGAGGACGAGATCACAGAATGGTCCGAATCGATGGCAACTCCGCCGTTGAATACAACAGAACCAGCTGGAGGTAGGAGAAATCCCTTTATGGTGTTAATGATCGATGTTGAGACAGCCTTTCAAAACGTGACTCTCAGGCGAGAATTAGCGCGTTGAATACGTCTTGCTGTCGAACATTTGAACCCACTTTGCTTCTCTGCGGTTCAGAAACCGTTTCGTTATCTGTGCCGGCGTTTCTCTTCTGGTGAATGTATTTTTCTCTTGATTACTTAAGAGTTTTTACATGTGCAGCTGTGAGTATTTGTAGTTAAGTGCTTGCTTTTATAAACTAGCGAGGTCTTTTTGCGACTTTTGTATCTTACCTCCGGTGTGTTAATTAGTTTTCAAGTGCCGTATACATGTATTTTCATCAATACAAATGCATATTTTTCCTCAAGCAGTTCGTTTCTGACTGTGATGTTATTAATTATGAATGCATCAGTGAAAAGCTACCGATTCTCGTGGATCCACTATTGGTTAAAGAACTTTCTTAAACACCGTATTTTTATCACCTTTATAAAGTTCGTCGTCTCCTTCGATAGATCCCACTTTAACTTTCTCAACCAGCTTATGTGCTAAGTAATGTTTTGTTTATTTCATTCGTGGTTACCGAATTTGCACTGATTTGGGCATGTTTGGGCGTGCTATTTTGAACAGTAGCTTGTAGTCATTCGCCCTTGTGGTCAATTCATTATTGATGACCTTTCGCTAACGGTCTCACAAAGATGTAGCAAAAAAAAAAAATAGTGTTCACGATATCTATTTCTAATCTTCAACGTAAACTTAATGGACCTGTCTATTTTGGACTATTTTAGTGTAACGAGCAATGTTGGAAGTATAGTTAATTAGATGTGGAGGTGTAAACAGTTTATGGCGCACGGGGTCGGGGTCGGGGCCGGGGCTGAAGGCAGGGAAGATAACACGGGTAAGGTGTATGAAATATCAGCCTAGATCCTTTCGACCTCCGCTAATTTGCTCACGAGTAACGGTTCATGAATACTTTAAATGATTCTGTTTTATTTAATGTATCCTTTTCCACTTCGTGAAGTCCGTGACTCAATCATCTCGATGAACTCAAATGAATTATACATATACATGGCCGAGAGACCCTTTATGAAATTTTAAATTGTTGAAAGAGTTAGAAGTGAATTTTTAAAGATATTGCTATCATCTCTATCTTGGAGATGAACTCAAAAAAAGATAACTTCCCAACTCGACCGGATATTTCCAAACAGCTGATGTTCAAAAGAGCTACGGAGTGAGATTTGTTGTCAAAACTGGACGCCGTATGAAAAGATCTTTACATGAAAAAAAAAACCTTTGAATTTATAATGTTGAGATAGGAAAACCAAAAAGGTTATTGTAAACTAAAACGGAATAAGAATGAAAAACAACGGAGAAAAATCTTAACGGATTACAAATGACAAACTCGAAATAATTAATCTAAATCCCCGTAAATGCATCAACGGTGAAGCAGGTACGGTGGAAGTTGCTCATAACGGTTAGAGAATAACGGGGAGATCACCTGTAACGCAGTTGGGGATCCAGGATTGAATGAAAAGCACGCGGAAAAAAAAAAAAAAAAAAAAAAAAAGGTCAAAGCATTGATCTAAATTGTTGACTTAGTAACTTGACATTTGTAGGCTTAATACTGTGTGAAATGGAAAGAAAAGGAAATTGAATCCAAGTATATACCCATTCATCTCATTACCGCCTTTTGTTTTTTTTAACTTTACTGCAAAGAATTTACAAGCTCCTTGCAGTCAGGTCAACATTAATTTTCGTACTGTGAACGAGAGTGACCGATTGGCTATCACCATAAGAGTGAGGAATAAATTTGACTATGCGAGGAGTAACACAATTAAATCTTAGGAAAGTACAGTAAAAGCGCTTTAACCCCACCCCTCGGCTGTTCCACGCGGAGACCCGTAGGAAAATCTGAAAATCTCCATGTCTACGTTAACGAGAAAAAGAGAATTATTGGCTCCCATCACGCACAATACAATGTATCTGTAATTGTTTGAGTTTTTTTTAAGTTCAATTATACACCTGCCACAAGATGAACCGAGTTATCTTTACTTCTATCTTCACTTGTGACTGCTTAATTTTTTCTTCTAGTTCGGGTGAATTATTTATCATTCGCAGCCATTGTTATGGATTAAAAACCGTTCAAATTAAGTACTTTGAAAATTTGTTCCTAAAATTTCCAACTTTTCACACCAGCTTGATGACATGGAAAATAATTTTTTTTTTACAGTGTCTTGGTTGTCCTATGTTTTTTATCCTTTTGAATTAGTAATTACTTTTGAGATCTCAGTCTCACAGGGAAGAGAAAAGGAGAACGTAAGCCTCTTTGATTATAAAAGACTGCGGCACGGGTATTATATGTTGGCGTCAAAACATCGCCTAAGTTTTGAATAGATAAAAGCAGTGACGCGGCATCAAGTTTTAACAAGCGGCATGCATCAAAGAAATATGCGGTGGCATTAAGGAGAGGAGATCTCTCTCGATCACTGTACTTGGGTTGTCTTCGTTACTGTTAATAGTCCGAAAATCGGCAATGCAACAAGGCATTTTGTTTTGTTCTTCCTTCACTTGTTTCTCGTTATTTTTAACTCCAAGACCCACGAACTGGTTTAAAGCATAAACTAATTTAAAGCGGCAGTGCTTTCCACATTGCATGATTGCATGCCGTGCGCCTCGTGACCCAGAAAATTGGTTGCGCAATTGTTCTTCCTCGGTCTGCCCTTTCAGCTTTTCACTCTCAAGATATAAATATTATATTTATCCACACTATTTCGCACACATTTTTTTAGAATTTTACCTCTTGGAATTTGGAGTTGGATTTAGTGATATTGCCCTTCTTATCTCCTGGAAAATTTGAAGAATTTGAAACGACAGATTCCTTTTTCCCTGGAATCAATCGATTCAAGTTTTTGATATCTCACGCTTGCATCCTTAAATTGTACTCGAAGATTGATTGTAATTGCCGTTAGCTGTTTAGCTCAAGTAAGAACTCTTCAGAATGAAGTAATTGCTAGCTCTCGTTTGGGTCTAGGGTAGAAGTACAAACATGCGTCTAGATTTAGGGTTTTCTCTAACGTTACATTATCTTGTTTTTAGTTTCGTGTTTGACACAATTGCGATAAAGGCATTCCTCCATAACGCTCGAGTGTGGTAATGGAATATTTAGTGTTATTTTATTCAAAGAACTTAGAAATTGTGAGTGCCATTCGTTTCCCGCCAACAATTGCTTCAGGCGTGGTTCAGTTGTCGTGGCTTGTGTGGGTTGATGATCTGATTGGTCGAAGGAAACCTAAAATTGTCTTACTTGTGTAATGTAGCCTGAGGCGTTGTCTTGTTTAATTAATCAGCAAAGCTTGAGTTCCAGATTAACTTTCTTTCAGTAAACAATTATCACTCCAATTGCAACAAGTAAAGCATTCGCCTCAAAGTTGGAAAATGCTCTTTGAGTGTATTTCTGATCTAAAGTAAACTGCTCTCAACCTATGGGGTTTGACAGAACCAAACCGCCGTAAAGGATTTTGAAAAGGCCACGTTTCGAGTCTTTGTTTGAAGGAAGTGCTAAGAAAGCCATCTTTTCAAAATTTTCTGAACCGGCTCAGTGCTTTTATCATTTTCCAGTTGATAAAGAACCGAAGCAGTGCTTTAATTGGTTTGGTATTAGTTTTCTAGTCAGCAAACCAACTTGCCACATGCTGCGACACGCAATTTCACCATTTCACGAGACAAGCGAGTATTACAACGTGGACCTGTAAAGAAAGCTTTCTCTGACACTGCCTTGTCTTCATATTCTATCGTATTCTTGTTTTCATTTTACAGACCCATCTGATGGCCAAGTAGACGGTGAGAACACCGATGAAAAGGTGATGGGAGGAGAAGGGCAAATACCACCTAAGGTACGCAAAACTCTATCAGAAAAAGATATTAATTAACGTTGCAAATATCTCAGCGAAGCATTTGTTACCCATGTGATCTTCAATGTTATGAAAAAAGAGTAAAGAAACGAAGCGCTGAGAATGAAACATGACACTCGAACGGTTTAAATGGAAGAATCTTGTTCCTCGCCATACTCCCATTTTTCGAATTTACTCCATACTCAATCGCTAAAATTCAAACTGCGCAGTAGACGGTGATTTCATCAATTCCTGTTTCTTAACATGACTTTGTTGCTTCTGCGGCGATATTCGAACGAAATTTTCCTGGTATTGATAAGATCATGCGAGAATGATTTTTGGGGAAACAGTACAATGAAAGTGACACGGAGATATTTCATCAGAAACAGTGCGGAGAGTCAAAGCTAATCTAAGTGATTAAAAAGAAGCGTGGTATGTACGTGAAGTACAAATGTTAGGCCTTTAAATGTTAGGCATGAAATATCTAGGGCATAGTTTAAGCGGTTGATTTAAAAGGTTGTGTGATTACCCTCCTTGCCGAAAGGAAAAAGTGTAATTTATAGGCTAATAAAACAACCAAGCACGTACTCCTTATACCCAGTCTCTGAGTGGAAGGTGGTTCGGAGCCCTGCCACTGGAAAATACGTAAATGAGAACCAAGACCTGACGTGTGTTGTCATTTACCACAACACTGCATTATATTTCAGCGCATTGCCCGTGTCCTGTTCTCAGGATGTTTAGCGGATCAGTCGTTAGAAGCCATGGAACTCTCTCTGGACAAAGCTAAAGTGGACGATAAGTCTTTGGTGCCATTAAGGATTACGGGTTCAACGTTACGAACAACTCCAAGAATGAAGACAGCCGATAGCTCACTCACGGAAGAGGAATTTGTTATGGAGTATTCTTGTCACGACGAGTCAAAACGCAGTGATATAACTCTTTCAGAACGATTTTCAGGGGTATCTAAAGTTACGTTGTCTGCTAAAGGGCCCCCTAGCCCAATTGATGCAGATGTTGCTATTAGAATGACGTACTTTTCTCCACCATCTGCTAAACCAAGCTTAATACATTCACCCCATCCCAACAGTTTTCTTTCACCTAAAAGTCAGAGTCCTTTCCAAGTACTAGCCCAGTCCACCCCAAAGCAGTCATTTAAAGGCGATCTCCCCAAAGTTATAAACACGTCCAGGACGAATGATAAGAGCGTAACTGAGAACCATGACACGAACCTTCCCCTTGATACAAACATGCACAATTATTTGCCCGACCAATTGTGTGACATGAATGAAAAGAAAGTCCACTCTGCATCAGGCGATAAAATTGACGCTGAGGAACTAGATCATGAACTTGAGGATACGGATGTTTCGTTCGGTTCACCATCGAGATCGTTTGAACTGGCCATGGCGCGTGAGGCGGACAAGCTGTGTTCTGGGGCAGAGAAAGATTCACGCACCTCCGGACTAGGTATGACACGTTTGATTGCTTTCAATAATATCAGAATAACGTCTTTTTTTTCAGGTTTGGCTCTATTAGGTTGATACTGTTACACGTATTGTTTCCACTCATGTAACGTTATGTGACCATAAGGATTAACTCTTCTAATTTGGCCCAGGTAAATACCTCCCTCCCCCTCCCTGCCCAAACAATCGCTGATAGATTTTCTTGTAGTGGAAAGAGGCACGGTGAAGGTAAAGTGTCTTGCCTAATAATAGACACGATGACCCGGCCAGGACTTGAACTCGAAACTGTGCTAACTGCTAAGTGCCGCAACGCGTTAACTACTGGGTCGGTGCATCTCCCTGCACGAGCTGAAAGCCCCAGTGCATCAGACAGAAAGAGAGACCCTTTTTCGTCACTGACAGGTTACTTGTTAATTTTTTCTGGTCAATTTAAGTTTTCCCTCCCCTATCTGTCCTTGTTTTAACACTGAGGAGCTGCTTTGTTTACGATGACTTGTCTCAATGATACTTCAGCTGAAGAAGAGAACGGATGTCCTCAGTTGGCTGGTACATCACTTTATTCTTTCCAAACTTTTAATAATTCGAAACTATCCTTTAAATGCGTAACAGTTTTAACTTATCAGAAACTACATGGTAAGCAATGTGTTTGAAGAACGTAATCGATTTACTCGCTGAGCTGGTCCTCGATCCATTTTCGAAACACGCTCACTCGAGCAAAAACGGTAAAGTGAGCCTTTGAAGAACACGTGGTGTCCCCCCAGCTCACAATACCTTGCTGCACCCACCGCCCAGCGGAGTTTTGGCAGACGAAGGGCCCTCCGCTGTCACCGAAGCAACCACTGATCTTGGTTTTACCCGCATCTCCTGCACAAATCATGGCGGAAGTTACAGCACTCTCCCCTGGTCTGCTAACAGGTGACGCCATATGCTTGGCTTGGCAGACGCGGTTGGACACCACGGGCATGGCGGCTTGTTGGAGTTTAATAGCAGCAGAGTCTGGATGAGTCATCTGTCCCCAGCCTATAATGAAGGATACCCTGGCATGTTAACATCTGCCTTTGTCAAAAAATACGATCTAAACAGTTGAACCTATCGAATAAATTTTCGCTGGTTGTTTGCTTTTTCTAATTAGGGGTGTCAGTGAACACCTGTCACAACCTTCTCCTCAATGGAAACTTTATCAAGAGAAATTTGTGGAGCAATAAATATCGTAAAAAAAACAATGTGCTGCAAGTGTTGGAGAAAACTCCGCTTGGTTCCATTATTTTTCTTTGAATAAAATCTTGGTTGAACTTTGACATTTCGCAGCATTCCTAACGCGGAAGGTTTCCCGTCATTTTTTACTGTCAAATCAAGCTTTGCTTGGGAGCAGACTAACTAGAGTCTTTTAATAAAATGGTAATTTAAAAAGTAGCGCTTACGGGTGCTCTCAATTGATATTCACAAATAATTTTGATCCATTTTTACCTGAGATGTAACATTTTGTTCCAATGGGCACCACTTCGAACTCATCCGGTAAACATACCGTGTTCACAAAGGATGTCCTTGTAGCTGATCGCGTCAACTGCAGCAAGGCTATATCGTTGTTAACGGCAACTGGTGAATTGTATTTGGGATGAACTACAACTTTTTTCACGGGGAACTCCTGCTCAGTTCCTTCAGGTTTCTCTCTGTGGAGGTCACCTAGCGTTACGCTGTACACGCTAGGATCTTCTTTTGAGATGCAATGTGCAGCTGTCATAACCCATGATGGAGTAATGAGCGAGCCGCCACATGTGAAGGTGCCTTCGGTTAGAAGCTTCGCTTGCCAGGGCCATTCGCCATAGGAAGCATCCGTGCCAGCAACTACCCGGCTTCCTCCTACCGTGGACTTACCACACGTGGCTGTCACATGCGTATCACGTTTACGGAGAAAGATAAAATGTTAAGAACTGTTTGAATCTCGATAAGGCAAAGAAAAAATGTCTCGTGTTCTCAACAATTAAAGTCAGGGTGTACTATTTGAAAAATGCAAGCAGATGAAATTGCGATTTTGCGAGATTGCAATTTTACAAAGTTTTATCGCTAATTTGCAAGATTTGAAGAACAAAAAGATTTACTAACAAATTTGATATTTGTTAGGGTACTTACGTAAATTGATGAAATCCACTCCAACCTTCTTTAGTTCATCATCTTTGATTTAAAAAATATGGATAAGGAAATTGAAGTAAACGTATGCAAATATTCAAAACTGTTGTGGCAAATTAATTCATCGGCTATTTTAGTGGATTTCCATAGAGCCGATCATGACTTGAAAAAGTTGGGCTTGGTTTGGTTGCCTAAAGCTTGATACTGGATGACCCCTTAAAATGAGACGAGTGATGAAACAGTTTGACTTTAGCAGCCTTTCCAAGTTCTTGGTAAGTCAGGGGGAAGCGAAGGAAATTAGGGGAAAGAAGAGTGGAACTTGAGAAAAATAAAATTCCCAATTCCCCTCAGCCCCGCGCCATTCTTGGCGAAACGGAAGAAAATCAAACTAGCTGAAAAAGTAAGTTATTTTTCAGTTGAGGTCACTCCGGTCGTTCTTGAGTGCAGCCCTTGCCTTCAGCCTCTTGAACTTGAGCAGAGCTTTTTCCCATACTGACCTCCCACCCGGTAAATAACGGATATTTACTTTAAGAACTTCACTTTTTAAAAATTGAGTTGAAATTCAAGTTTCCTTTAAAATCCGAACCTCTCGCTGTTTTCTCATTTTTTCTTCTTCTTCTTTTTGTAACGTTATCATTTGTGAACATCGCTGCTCGCACAATGTCAAGTTGGCTATGTGTTTGTTGGATACATATTCAATCTTTGATGCTCTCGAAAGCACAAGCATTGTAATCGAGAATAATTCGAGTTACTTCGTTCTTAAAGCTGCAACCCAAACATTTCTACCGGTATAGCTCTTTATTTCCTACTTCAGTTAGTAATACTGAAAGGCAGAGTTTCGTGTCTTTCATTTGAAGAAGAGCAGCTTCAAAATAATACTTTTCCTTGACTATGGACAAAGTTTAGCGTAGCCGGCAGAGTTCCAAAATGACATATTCAAGACGAAATAGTATCTACAGAGCGAAAAACTGCCAAACAATTACCCTTTGTCGACATTGGCTCGATTTGAAAATTCTTTAATGTCACAATTACGCTTTGAAAATGAGATGTATCGATGCATTTGTATTAACCTCTGGTCAGTTCTATTTTATTTGTAAGAAAAAGATGGTATCACAAATGGCCTTTTTAAAGCAGAAGCTTTCAGTGAACTCTTTTACGCTTAAAAGTTGACCATTCATCCCTTTTTATATCGGTGCATTTTTTTTTTGAAAGTTATAACGTGGTAAATCAACAGGTGCATAAGGCGCCAATCACCACAGCACGCCTCGAGCTACACTCTGATGTTGTCTATTACTAGTAGTCACTTGAAAAACCAAGACATTTGAAATGCAAATTTCTGCTGGATTCGAAATCTAATATATATGTCGATGAACTGAAAGTTTTTATTGTTTTATTATTGAAAGGAAAATAATTTTCATCATCACTCACAGCTTTCTTTTCTCCTTCTTTCAGTGTTTTCTCTTGTAATAGAAAATTCATCCACTGAGCAGACAGTTTTTCATTTAAAATAAGGGCATTTGTTCCCGTACCTATAAAGCTATGATCAGTTTTTTTAAATTGATTGTTTAACGTCCATGACGTGATGAATATTCTTCACGCGGAAGGCAATTTCTTGAATTTATCAAACGAGGAGAAAAAACAAGTATTGTATTTGGTGGAGAGATTTCTCTCTTATTTCAAAACTAGCCTCACTGTTGTCGAATTTGCTCAAAATACTGGAAGTAACTTTTGAACTTAAAACAGTTCTGCTCACATTACCGTTTATAATATAAATATTCTCAAGCTATTTATGAGGCAGATGTAAAAATGCGACTCAAAAATATAGTGCTTGGTAAAGAAACTGCATGGGAAATTTCCGTGAAACGGTAATGGCTTAGATGAAACCCGTTTTAATGAGAAAGGAAAAAAAAAAATTCCGTAAATCGATGTTGACAAATTTGACATCAAAGATAAACGGACCATTGAGTTTCATGGCGTTGTAGTCTCTGCGATGATGATGTGTACTCTTAAGATCGGTAATTTAAAAGAAGGCAGTCGATGGACCGCGAATTTGCTCTTTGTGCTTTTTTTTTTAACCGAAAAAGAAAAAGAAATGTATTTCCAGCGTTATCTATGAGCCTTTGTGTCTTGAACGCGGTTTTGCTAAGCAGCAAATAAAGCTTTTAAAATACCCCGCCCTTACCTTCGCCTGGCAAAAGCCTTAAACGTCGAGATTCAGCACAAAATGTTGAAAACAGCACTACAGCAAGTAACAAGCATACGGACGCTTGATGAGTCATGACTATGATGATAAATACGCCGATCACCCGAAAAAACTTATCTCTGCGTGGTTTACACTCCAGCGACGGCGAACATCTGTTTCCGCTTGCAGGCTTTATGATTAGGTGTATTTTATGTGTTATTAATGTAAATATCCTGCATGGCGACGGTAGACAGTTTTCTCTGTAAACGTCTTTATGCCTAATTGGTTGAACTTAAGCTGAGAGGTTTAAACAAAACATTGAAATGTGAGTCAACTTGTAAAATCAATTAGATCAGCTCTGTTTTTTTTTATATTTTCTATGCTTCTCTTATTTATTCTCTTATTTTTTGGTTTTGGTTTTTATCTTTTTTGGTGCACTTTTTTTTGGAGAAAACATTGACATAGATTAAAAATTATTTTAGGTTATTCGGTTATTCATATCTACGAAGCTTGTATGATGTCAAACAAAACTGTCTAAAGCAGACCATAAGAAGTGGTCATGAGTAGTGCGTCTTGCCAAGCTCACTAGAGGCTCGGTATAGACCTTTCGAGCTCCATCTCTGTTAACCATCCTCCTTCCTCAGTAGTATTTTTTCTTTACCCTTCGTCTACTCCGGAAACCTGTTACGTAAAAGTCTCCTTTTTATAATTTGTAATTTTCAACGACTCAACCAACACTAAGAAAATATTTCGACCTAATTCCCTTGAACTTGTACAATTTCTTGGGCAGCACCAGGTCATAACGTCCTTTTCTGTCACTTCTTTACGTTTTTATTTCACACAATACTATTGTAATGCATTATTGTGAGGCATGGCAAATGGACATGGCAAATCTTAAAAACGCAGATTTTGAAATGTAAACCAAGGTACACGACTTAAAGTGTTACTCCTGCTAGCAAGACGTCGAAGCCCTTTTATTGCTTGGGTTTGACGTAAAAGACAGAAACGAGGCTGCCAGTTTTTGACTCTAAATATATCAGTTGATACACTTTCTTCTGAGTAATTACCTAGAGAAGGCTTCAGTTTTCTTCGCACTTGCTCATTTTGAATTATAGCTAACCCCTTCCCGCCTTCCTTTGGCAACTTCAATGCCTCAATCACCGCCCCATAGATGGGGTTAGTCTAGTGTGCGTAAGGAACATAGTTAAAGGAAAAAAAAATATCATTTTTATACCGTTGATTCCCAAAAATTGTTCGCCACCTCTTAGTTTAAAAATTTAACCGAATTATACAGTTTTTTTCATAGTGGCTACTTGTTCTTATAGGTTCATCATTGTCCGTGAGTTTAAACCCTCAGTCACAGAACACTGACGATGAATTGATTAATAGCACTGTCTCCCAGCCAACCAATTACATCCAAGAGACTGCTCAAATCCCAAGAAATGGAAACACATTGCAAAATCTGGGTGAAAACAATATCACCATATCTGGTGAGACTACCGGTGGATCATTGCATGGTCATGGTAACTACTTAAGAAAAAGGTCATTCTGCAAAGTACCCGGAATTCGTCGCTCAGCTCGAACAAAACGATTCTCTTATCCCTCAGCGAGTCAAGTTGCTGAACATCACATAAAAAAGAGTGCTAGAAGATCTGTTACAAATGATGATTTTTCACTACCTGCCAGAGAGGAAAATCCTAGGATTAAAGAAGCCAAAGGTTCAGTGAACTGTGAAACGCATGGAGATATAGCCTCTTATACCACCCTCAACAGCTGTGATGGTAATATTGAACTGCCTCTTTCGGAAAAACTTAAGTTTGAGGAAATGAGTGCGTTTTGCAAAGGTGATAACGCTTTGAAATCATCTCCCACTGTGAATAGCAAGGAAAAAGACGATGTCCTTTATGACATGGATGCCCTCACCCAATTTCCAATGGAATCCATTTGTTCTCCTCCACCGGGAGCGTCGAGAGCGCACCTAGAAAAAGAGGACGTGACAGAAAGCGTGAAGACAGGAAAGCTTGTTTGTTGTGATGGCAACAATGAGCCCTTATTGTGGCCTACAGAGAAGGCAGAATTAGAGCCTGTTAATGGGAACACAAGAAAGATTTCGGATGCATCACAAAGTAGTGCTGTAGCCCCGCTTGATGAGCACAAGTACCCATCGATGGCGGACGAGATGTTTGGAGAGGATAACCAAATCTGGGAAAATAATTCCATCAAGGCAGGGAAATTTAAAATAACCGCGTTGCACGGATCTCAGATCAGCGAGTTTTCGCCTATACAAACCGACAATTGTCAATATTTCGGAAGATTTTCTCCCGAAACGAAAGATGTTTACGTTACGAGCGAGTATGACAATGTTACGTCCGTCACGAATGGAACTATTTCAGGCTTTGAAGGTTTCAAAACAGCAAGTGGAAAACACGTGTCGGTATCCTCCGAAGCTTTGGAGAAAGCGAAAGCTACCGTTAAAGAGATTGACGAATTGTTAGGTTTGTGTGAGGGTGATGATAAGCAAGTAAAACGACATTTACAGCCTGAGATTAGTATGTCATGTAACGCAACACAAAATAATGGCGTCACCTCTTGCTTAAAGGATATAAGCTTGCCGCAGAGAGTTGGTGAGACTATCGCAAGCGACGAAAACCTTTCTGGTTTTGAGATAGTACAATCGTCTGTGCTGCCTGGATTTTGTGGGTTTTCGACTGCTAGCGGCGACCAAATTCATATATCTCAATCTGCAATGCAGAAAGCAAGGAAAACCCTAAGTGGAGTTGACATCGATATGAAAGATATTGTATATGACGAGGGAATTAAAAAGTCAAAGAAGGAGCCATATTTCCTTATGGAAAGAGGGGAAGGAGCTCCAGTGAACCAGCTCGCTCCAGCTGATAACATCGATTACGATTTTGGTAATAAAGAGGAAATTCCTCTTTTAAAGAAAGCAAAAAGTGATGAACCTCGTCTCCAAGAAAAGTGTTGCACTGAACCTCACAGGATTGCCTCGTTCTCTAGTTCTGTGACTGAAGCACTTGTCAATGGGAATGATGATCCTGATTTTGCTTCAGCCGCGTTCTTACTGATTGAGGAAAAACGTGAAAATGTGCTTCTGAAGGACCACTCAAAGAAGAATTTTTCTACAATACGTGCTGGTGAAACAGAAAATAAGGACCTAACTTTGCAGAGTCCCGCGTACGTCGTGGGTGATTCTGTAAATAAACATTTTGAAAATGTAAATGATTCGTTACTTGAAGACTTGTTGAATGACTTCAAGCGCAAAAGACGAGACTCCTTGATCGCTATCAGCGGGGAGAGCGACAAAGTGGAGGAGCGTGAACTTAACACGAAAAGTGCAGTCAACAACTCTTGTGATGTGAGACATAAGCATTGTAATGAAAAATACTCCTTAGAGTGCAATGGAAATGTTTTAAAAGAAATTCTCCCTGAATTTGCAATTGATAAGTCTATCTCTGTCTCGAAGGAAACCACTGAACTCTGCACAAAGATGCAAAGCGGGGAACGCATTGCCCCTCCAACTGCCTTTTCTGGTTTCCAAACTGCCAGTGGCCAGCTGGTGAAACTATCTGCGGAGTCAATGGAGAGAGGAGCGGTCATAATGCAGCAGATTGATAATTCCCTTCAGCAAAACAGGGAGGCCACTGCACCACCACATGCCTCTTCTGGTCTCCAAACTGCAAGTGGCCAGCTGATGAAACTATCTGCGAAGTCAACGGAGAAAGGTGCGGCCATAATACAGCAGATTAATAATTCCCTTCAGCAAAACAGGGACACTACTGCACCAGCAAATTCCTTTTCTGGTTTCCAAACTGCTAGTGGCCATAAAGTGAAACTATCTGAGGAGTCAATGGAGAAAGGGGCGGCCATAGTGCACCAGATTGACGAATCCATTCAGCAAAACAGAGAGATTACTACACCACCAAATGCCTTTTCTGGTTTCCAAACTGCCAGTGGCCATAAAGTGAAACTATCTGAGGATTCAATGGAGAAAGGGACGGCCATAGCGCGCCAGAGTGACAATTCCATTCAGCAAAACAGTGAGACCACTGCACCACCAAATGCCTTTTCTGGTTTCAAAACTGCAAGTGGGCAGCGAGTGAAAATATCTGCGGAGTCAATGGAGAAAGGAGCGGCCATAATACAGCAGATTGATAATTCTATTCAGGGCAACAGGGAGACCACTGCACAACCAAATGCCTATTCTGGTTTCCAAACTGCCCGTGGGCAGCGAGTGAAAATATCTGCGGAGTCAATGGAGAAAGGAGCGGCCATAATACAGCGGATTGATAATTCTGTTCAGGGCAACAGGGAGACCACTGTACCACCAAATGCGTTTTCTGGTTTCCAAACTGCTAGTGGGCAGCGAGTTGAAATATCTGCGGAGTCAATGGAGAAAGGCGCGGCCATATTACAGCAGATTGATAATTCTGTTCAGGGCAACAGAGAGACTACTGCACCACCAAATGCGTTTTCTGCTTTTCAAACTGCTAGTGGCCATAAAGTGAAACTATCTGAGGAGTCAATGGAGAAAGGGGCAGCCATAATGCAGCAGATTGACAATTCCATTAAGCATAACAGGGACACCATTGCACCTCCAAACGCCTTTTCTGGTTTCCATACTGCTAGTGGACAGCAAGTGAATATATCTGCGGAGTCACTGAAGAAAGGAGCGGCAATAATGCAGCAGATTGATAATTCTCTACAGCAAAACATGGAGACTACTGCACCTCCAAATGCCTTTTCTGGTTTTCAAACAGCCAGTGGCCAAAAAGTGAAGCTATCTAAGGAGTCAGTGGAAAAAGGGGCGGCCATAATGCAGCAGATAGACGATTCCATTCATCGAAACAAGGAGACCACTGCACCGTCAACTGGCTTTTCTGATTTCCAAACTGCCGGTGGCCAGAAAGTAAAACTATCTGTGGAGTCGATGAAGAAAGGAACGGTTGTAATGCAAGAGATTGACAATTTTATTCACAGAGACAAAGAGAAGGTTGATCAACCTCTTCCGAGAAACATAGACGGCAGTGAGTCCACAAATTGTTTTTCTGAATGCAGCGCAAACGTATCCAGTGCTTCAGGTTTTTCTGGTTTTCAAACCGCAAATGGTAAAACGGTACAGATCTCGGAATCAGCACTCGCAAAGGCAAAAGACACTATAGCTAGCATTGAGAATGATGTTATAAAATCTAGGACAGGAACAGAGGGAGTATTAAATGACTCCTCATTTAAAGGAATGGACAAATGGAAACTGCTTAATCAAGATACAGATAGTGCAATCAGCGACGGTCACCTTGTACCTGCGATGTTTCTTGGAAGTTCCACGCCTTCACGTGACGGACGCTGCTCAAATGAACAAGATGATGCGGTGTCCCGTGAGATTCTCGAAAGTTCTGAAGCCCTTCTGGCGTATGAATCTTCTCTGGATGTCTCAGAATACGACAAGGTTACTATTGCATGGGACTCATTGAGAACAAGTCCAGTTTCAATGACAGGAAGTGCTAAAGGTAAACGAATTTGTGGCTTGTTACAAACCTCATGTTCTATTTTCCTTCGACACGACACGAAGTTCTGTTATCAATTAGTCAAAACTATAACAAAAATTGAGATAGAAAATAGACGTCTGTTATACGTTTTCATAAAAAAAAACGACAACAGTTAACTCGGTCCTATTAGTGCTCAAATCGGGCTGGTGATAACCAATCACTTTAGAGAATTTTTTTACTTTTGATTAGGAAAAATATAGGATCTCTGAACGATAATTGTTGGAAAATGAGGTGGGACCGGATGAAAATTATTCAACTGCTCTCCTATTTTTGCTATACACAGGGTTGTCTTCTGATTCTAAGGAAGACTTTCAAAGACGCCACTCAACACCAGTAAGTGATGTTATTCGGTTGTTTCTCCACTACACGCATGAGTACATGTCTTCAGACAGCTATGTACGTAGAAAATATGAGCGATATCGTGCTCGATCTTTGTGTAGAAGGACATATAACGATGCCTTATTAAGCTTAGAGACGCTTTTTGAGTAAAAAGTGATTTTGTTCGTTTCATATGTTCTGTTTTTGTTCATTTAATCAGAGTTCATTCATTTCTTGAGGAGCAAACGATCAGCACAGGAAAAGTTCCAAACAGTTGGCTTTCCATGCTTATGTTAATGTAATTTCGGCGATTTAAGCTTGTATTCTTTTAATCTATCTATGAAAATTACTGAGGTGCGAACCTTTTTGTATTCTTAACTTTTTTTTCTTTACGCTGTAACAGCAAAGGTGTGGCGAAGACATGGTAAACAGAAATCATAAAGAAACTCGGAGTGGATTGAAACCTTGTTCAACAACACCATCAGGTATTTTCTTGACTTTGGTTAAAACCCTTCAGGCATACCTTTTCTTACAACCTGTTATGTTAGCGCATTTCTTTGGCTGTTCTCAATTATCTTTTTCTCTCTGTGGTTAACTATTTTCCCTTTTCAATTTCTATTTTGGTCAGGTGTTTTCCATGATCGGAGGGTACACCTTCATGCTCCTTTGAGGGCGCGTCTGGCCACAGTCGAAAACACGTTTACACCAAGGTATAAAGGATATAACTGTTTCAATAAGAAAAACGCGGGGGGTACAGGAGACTGTGCCTGAGTGAACAATTGAATGTCGTATAACGAAAACCATAGTAATCATATAGGCCAATCAGAAGACAGGAAAATATCTGAGGATGAGAACTCGCAGTTGAAACAAGCACACGATGAACACCGGTGACTTGTTTGTGATTAGTGTTAGTTTTGCATATGACTTGTTGTCATATGGTGAGAATTTTCTCGACCAGTTACCAAGCGTAGTGAAGGAAAACAGATGCAATCCTTTCGACACTCATTTGAAAATTGCTTCACTTAGGAACTCGTGCTGCACAATTCTGAGGGCAAGCACTTGGCTAAAATGAATTTCTCTCATGATCATTTCCTGAATTGTACTTCACTCCTCTACAACAACTGGATATCGAATTAGGACTTTGTAATATTTCTTGATAGGTGGAGCGATTGCATGCGTCATTTTGTGGCTTGGTCATGATACAGCACCTCTATATCCTCTCTTCAATGCATACTTGCCGAACCACCCCATTAAGGGAGGGTCGAAACAACTCCGTGTTGTCAAAGCTAAGTTAAGCGCCAATGTTTTGAAACATCAGCTTTTCGCGATATGAATGAACCATTGTTCGCTAAAGATTTACCCGTGTCATTTGTCCCACTGGAACGTTTTTGCGTGAAGTTGCATGTTTACCAGGTGTAGTAACCTTGATATTATTACTTGCTCCTGTATTTTCAGAGGATCAGACAGCACTCGCTCGTTGAACCCGTTGCGAGCCACAACCCCTGGCTGCTTCAAAACCAAACATATTCCTTCACCAAGAACTAGCACCCCTTTAAATTCCAACGTAATGCATCGTACGTCTGCCCCTCGTCCACTCTTCATTACGCCTTACAGAAACCGAGAAGTGTCAACGGTTGTCTCTCCCCTTGCCCGTTGTAGCAGCTCTTCTTTTCCAGTGAGTGAGTCTCCAAAGCCCCACATAACGGATTTGATGGAACCAAGCTCAAAGAAAGCAAAACTTTCATCACGAAATTGTTCATCTGTGATTAAATGTGGTCAGCCTGAGACTTCATCTAAGGTTAGTCTGATACAAGTTGTTGTAGGTCAAGCACTGGTGAGGTCAGATGGTGAGATCTTTGGTCAGGTGCTCGCGCAAGGAGCGCTTTTGTACAACAGTAGCCATCTTCACTATCATACGGCCACACCGGTTTTTTAATTATTGTTATGGATATTATGTTTTACATTATTATGATTATTTTTATCATTATTTATTTACTTTTGGAGGGAAGGAGTAATATCTTGTACTCAATTCAGAGGTCACTCTCTATTGTGGTCGTTGATAGGTGAACTTTGTGAGCGTAGCATTATTTACAACTAACCGGCGAGAGTTTAATTAAAGCTTGAATATTCTATTTATGCACAGGTTTCCCTTGAGTTTTTGAAAAACTTTTATCGTATTACTTAGTGAACTCTTGGCGTTGAATAAAGTCGCTAGACCTCCATTGTAATTGCCGTTTTTCTTAGTTTTTACTTTCAATGATCTTGAGTAGGTTTTCGGTAACCTCTTCACTAATTTATGATTTTTTAAGTAAATCTGATCGTAAGGTATCATTCTTTCAGAGCAAAGAGGGACTTAAACCGCGGCCTGGTTTCTTATCTGGACTGCGCCGCCACAATAAACGGATAAAGCTCAAGGATTATGTTGGGAGCAGCACACTTCCAGGGAGATACACTGCTGCAGAGGTGAGATTCCAACTATACCTCCACTGCTTTTGTTCATTAATGACAGAATAAAACAAGGAAAAAGAACATAAACAAGCTAAGAGAACTTACCAAAACATCATCTTTTTAAAACTGACCGAGGAATTATCGTCCTTCGAGACAGATCGATTCGTATTATCCAAGACTCTTTTTACCTCAGACAAAGCGTGTACAATAACAAAGATTTGAGAGATCTCTTATCTTTTTGTTTTTCGACCTCAGTTGCTTCAGATCGGTGTGTTTCCAGAGGTGATTTCTGTTACCTCCACGAACGCAGTATCATTTCGGTTCTGTGGGAGGAGGTACTTCAGTGAAACTGCTTTGTCCAACGGCGGAGGTGTTCGGACTGAGGATGGAGGTGTGATGCTTGTCGGGAGTGATCACTACGTTGGTCTGGAAGAAATACAGAGGTATTTATAAAAGAAAATAATAAAATAAAATAACTTAAAAAAAAAAGATTTGGTTTGTGACAAACATTCGGCCAATTTGATATTCTCTTCGCGCGACGCTTTTACAAATAACCAATCTACTCGGTAATGAGGCAGCTAGTGCTGCAAATCTACAAATACCTGTGGTGAACGTACTGTCTTATAATTGGGTGTGTTCGACCCCGGATAGAAAGGCGTGGGTTCGAGCCCTGGGCAAGTCAATGTGATATGCCACTGTGCTCGAAAGTTTACTCTTTTCACTCAGGAGTAGGAATGGGTACTATGAACGTCCAGGGAAACCTGATGAAATGCTAGGTGGTAAACGCAGCAACTAGCATCCTGTTCGTGGAGAGGAGCAATATTTCTAGACGTTTCATGTCACTGACAGAGGATGGGGATAGACTTAGCTCAATTAAAATCGTATTTTTACTTCGTTAGTGCGTTCTTAACCACACCAGGCGTGGACAGTCAGCTGATTAGTAAGGAGTGGATTGCTAATCATTACAGATGGCTCGTCTGGAAACTCGCTGCAATGGAAGTTGCTTTTCCGCATCATTTTGCTGGCAGGCAAGCTTTTGTTTCGCTTATAAATTACTCTTTTGACTCTAATTTGTACACGAGTCTCTTAAAAGTAAAAAGAGTCCACAGTAACTATAACAACGTCAAGAGACACACAAGCTGCCACCAATGAGTGTTTTATTAAAAATCGGTAAAGTGGTGCTTTCTCAACAAATTGAATTAATTATCCATTTCGTATGTACCCTGTAGAATAAAATTGGAGTCTTATTTAAACACGGCTCACGCGCGATTATGTGCAGTATGTTTTTTTTCCGAAAAAGGTCGGTTTCATAATTCTTCTCCTTCAAATTTCACTTTCCAATTTTGCTTCTTGACTCAATATAAGTGTTGTCTTTGTGTTTCCAGGTGCTTAACACCAGATTGGCTTCTGTGTCAACTCAAGTACAGATATGACAGGGAAATTGATGGCAGTGAAAGGTAACGTGGAGTCGACTTAGTCGGATTAAAACGGACCATTTGGCTGGCTACGCCAGCAAGTAAGATAAAATGAATCCTGTGTTCTGAATGGTCGTACGGAAAGAGCCTTTTTTGCCGGGTCGGTGTTTCTCGCTTTGCCCCTGCAGAAAATGTAATCAAACAAACAAACAAACAAACTCTCAGGCAATACTATTAAAAAATTAAATAAATAGAAAAAAATAATAATACTAAAAGGAAACAAAAACAAGACAAAAAACCCACAAAAATAACAACGACAAAACAACGTTAATGTTCGTGGCCGACGTACAAACGTTCGGACATTTTTCCTAACAAGGTTTTCTGGTTGAGTCAAGTCTTTACAACAGTCACCAGAGCAAACAAGGGAGAGTTTCGTTAACTTATTTTGTTACACTCTGATTTACCTGTAATATTCATTTGTTGAGCCTGTTTAGTCAGGATTGTTGTTTTTAAGTCCACGAAAACGTGCACCAAAATATTAATTATCAAAAGAGAGCCGAGAAAGAACTAAGCCAATTCTTAAAGTAGCCACCTAGAACTAAAACTTGGCCAACAAAGCGTATATACTTCGATAATAAACCTTCTGATTGTTCATCTTGATTATACAGATCTGCACTGAAGAAAATCACGGAGCGCGATGATGTGTCTAGTCGCACAATGGTACTTTGTGTATCAAGCGTCACAGTAACGCAAGAGGACAAGGAGAAAAACGCATCAGAACAGAGTGATGACCAAGGCGAAAAAGATGGCCAGAGTAGGATGAAAATGGAGGTTAGTCAGAGTGACGTTATTACAGTTTTATACTGCTTACCTCCTTTATTTTCGATTGTTTAAAAGGTAGAACTCCTCATCCGTATCTTTGATAGAAGTGACTAGGGGGTTTTGCTACTCCAGGATGGATCCAGGAATGCTTGCCGGGCTGGGGGAAGGAGGGGGGGGGGTGTGTGGATGAGCTTCTAGACCATGACACACGCTGTGTATACTCCCCTCGCACCACCCAGCACTTCTTCAGGTCTCCGAGACAGTTTGCTGGCACCAGTTTGTGGGTTGATTTGACTAGTAGTATTTTACTAGTATATACTAGTAAAATTTCTTTCTCAACAACATTACACAGTAACCACGGAACTTTCGATCTTGTAATCGGTGCGCTCTCCTTAAAGCCACAGTTTCTCCGTCTGTTTAGAGGCTGAATAACGTGTTTTTATAACTATCATTTCAGAGTTGTGCTGTCATTGAGGTTACTGATGACTGGTACAGCATCCGAGCAATATTGGACAAACCGCTTACCAGGCTGCTACATGATAAGAAGATTGTTGTGGGTCAAAAGCTGATTGTTTGTGGCGCTGAATTAGTAGGATCCGAACAGGCTGTCTCCCCTCTAGAGGTACATAGGTACATTGTAACGTGTTTCTTCTTGACTGTGGACGCCCAAGATGAAAATGCTTGTCTTAGAAATTCAACTTTAATTTTCATGCTTTTCATTTGCTTACACTGGCTTATCATCCTCGCATTTCTTAGATCAAAACATTGATTGGTTCGGTTTTGTTGTAGGCTCCTTCAACGTTGATGTTACGGCTGCATGCTAACTCAACTCGGCGTGCACGATGGGATGTGAAACTCGGATTTCATCATCATACGCATGCGTTTCCATTACTGCTTTCCTCTTTGTTTGGCGATGGTGGATTTGCAGGATGTGTAGATATTATAGTTTTGAGACAATATCCTGTTCAGGTAACTGACACTTTCTTGACTAATAAGAAGCGTAAGTGAGCTTACTACTTCACAGCTTCTGCATCGTGAACATGTGATCCTGCAGTTAAAATCGTCTCCATCATTAACCTTCCTTAATAATCCTGGTTCCTTCTTAAAATGGCTATATGTATTTCCTTATACAATTTCCAATAAGTAAATGTAAAGTAGGGTGCGCGCTTCCTTGAAAACAAAAAGTTTAAGTTTGTAATCCAGTCCTTAAGTTGAGTTTTTGGGCAAAACGCTTTAGTTTCACAGTGCCCTTCTTGCTGTAAGTGTGTTTCACCAGTTTATCTTACAGCTATTGCGATTTATTTTTTTGCAGTGGATGGAAAAGATGCCTGATGGAACCAACGTGTTCCGCAATTCTCGCCTCGAGGAGAGAGAGGCCAAAAAGTTTGAAGCGGATCGTCATCAACGAAGGGAAAAGTTGTTTATCAAAATACAAGAAGAGTTTGAAAGGGAATGCCTGGAGCCAGGTGCGTGATCGTGATGATTGTTGGAAAATCAGTTCTATTGGCAATAAATCTGTAGACCTGTCAGTAAAGAAATGCATAGAATAAAAAAACAATCAGAATAGAAAGAAAGTGAAAGTTTGCTGAAGGACTCTCCTTGCCTTTTTATTGTAGAGAGAGAAAGGAGAAGATCAGCAAGATTTCGTCGCCGTTCGTTTTTACCACGTGATTTGAAAGACTTGCATGGTGGGAAAGAGATTTACGAAGCTCTTACACAAGCCACGGACCCGGATGCAGTGAAAGTTAGTATTACTCTCGCTCGTTTGTAATGCTAAAAGTTACAGTACTTGGTGTGTTTCTTTGAAATGTGCCATCGCTGGTGCCTATCATGACAAAGGGCGCAACAAGATGATCATATGGCCTTTGTCCAGCAGTATAAGAAGAGAAAAAACACTCAAGAAATAACAGAATTGTTTATTCAGGGAGGAAGATGATAGCTTATGCTTTTTCCAGCTGAGTGTCTAAAGGAAATTTGATACTTCGCTGCCTTTTTTGTCTCAATTAGGTCTGGATTGGTCCACAAAACTTGTTCCATCCTCTCAATCAATCCGATTTAAAACTAAAACCAATCGCGACTTGCGCATTTGCATCCTATTTGCCTTCCGTGATGATTTCTTTGTTACTTTTGTTGTCGTTTGTTTTCCCTTTGTGCCATTACTCTAGATTTAGTCTTACAAAACTCAGATGAGAGCCTTCAAAGTTAAAATTTTTCCTTGATTTTGAGGATAACAATCAGTCCCGAACCTGATGAACCTGTTCACTTATCGTTCATCGAATTTTACAGCCGCTGGAGACAGCAATTAAAATAAATTGTCTCTAACTGTCTGTCGTGATTTTTATCAAGGAGTGCCTCGATGAACGCCAAATGCGAGCTCTAGAGGAATACCAGCGTGCATCACAAGAGAAGAAATTTGCTGAATTACAGAGCAAGTTTGAACGCACTTGGAAGGAACAGGAAGAGGAGGTAATTCATGCACTGTTTTGATGCAACATCTTTACCTTTGTTCCTTGTGTTCTTTTTTCTTTTCCCGATGGTTTCGTGTCATTTGTTCATCATATCCTCTGGTATTCCTCCGGCTCAAAAGATCAACTCAACAAATTCCAGAATTAGCTGGCTACAACGAATGAAGATAAAATCCGGCGGTAATACCAGTGCTAATTGCCAGTGGCATTCGTGCGTCCCTTCGTTCGTCGGTTGCTATGTGGGTCCATCGGCCGTCGTTGTCATCAATTTTTACCGGACATTATTTATATTGTGATTTATCTGAAGGTGAAATGTAACCAGTTATATTAGACACGAATATAACATCTTGAAACACATATGGAAGCAGTCCTCGCAGTTATGAACACTACTCAAGTAATAGTGAAAATAAAGCCAGAAAAGAATTTTTTCTGTTGTTCTGTTGTTTGCACCAACAGTTTGTGTTATTTGTCTCCTCAGCACCAGCCCCAAAGAAATGTGGTGCCTCTGCTCAAAGTTCGGATTGCTGACTATTTGCTCAAAGGTCGGGAAAGGCAGCGTAAGTGATATTTCTTTGAAGCAGGAGGGGTGGGAGAAAAGGTGAAAACACTACATGAGTGTTTCCTCTCAATGAGTCTCAAAATAAGCAAAAATTGATAGGAACAAACAAATCAACCAAGAAATAAATGAATGAATAAATAGATTAAAGATGGAACTTCAATTGTTCATGGCAAAACGTTTTAGTGTTCTACCGTTTTTGGTCTAAGGTTTATGCAGTTCTAGCGGACGATACTCCAATGACTTCCGTCGCCATTACCTGCATAGTTACTTAAACTCTCTCAAAACTGCATCCATTGCTGGGTATCAGTTGACCACCCACTGTATTCTCAGCATCCTCGAGGTGTATGTGGTATCCTTGCCTTACTCTCGTTCATGATCAGTCTTGACCAGTAGGATTTTCATCAATTTCGACGACCTTCCCAGTAAACAAGCTCCCGTTTGAGGTACGAATTGAAGCAAGCATGGACTCTTTGGTCAATCCATGCTCACTTCCCGCGTAGGCCGCTACCCTTTCGCGTTCATCTCTCACTGTTATCTTTACCTAAGCGGGAACTAAATTGTAGGCGACGACGACCTACAAATAGGGGCTGTCAGACTTCCTAAAAATGAAATACCCTAACCTCATCCCGCTCTTACTTTCCTGAAGTCACAAGGGTATTCAAGTTTTAATTCCATCTGACTATTACAGATGCTGTCTTGAGCATTTGGCGACCGAGCGAAGAAGTCATGCAGTTGTTGAGCGAGGGATCCAGGTTGAGAATTTATCATCTAACAGCATCAGGTGTCCGGTAATGCCATGTTCGTTTCGCGGTGAACATTTTCACCTTCTTAGTTCTGTTGTTGCTTTAATTTCGGTACTGATATTTCCGTACAGTTTTTTAATTCAACGCTTTTTCAGGTATCGGCAGGGTGTGAGTGAACTCCAGGTGAGAAGGAATCAACTCATTTGTCCAAGTACTTTCCAATACGTTTTTTCGTAATCTTTTTGTTGTTTTATCGTGTTTGAAGCCAACCAATGGACGCACGGTGTTACCTCTCCTCTAGTAAATTGTTTAACACCCCCCCCCCCCCCTTCCTCCCTACATCGCCTATGAATCATCAGGAAAAAACCAAACAGGGTGATTCTGGATGCAAATTTTCTTGACTGACTGGGCTAGTTACCGTAAATAATATTATTTATGCACGGTAGAACCAATCTCCCTGTCTGATGTTGTAATACTTTTACCTTTTGCCCCTTGCTGTCTTTTTGGCCATGCTGGTGATTACAATTTTTCTTTTCTTGCTCTTTAAACCATTGCTTCTTATATTTACCCACAATCCTTATTCTTGCCTATCAAAGCTTTCTGCAACGAGAACAACTAGATATCAGGACCTATCAAGTGATCCCGAAGTCAAAAGCATGGTTTACGTTCCTCGACAGGTATGCATTCTACAATCGATTCGTAGTATTTTTATTCATTTATTAATTTATTTATCTAGTCATTTACTTATTTATTTTTTATTTGTTTGTCTCCGCTCGACGAGTATAGATTAACAAGAAGATTTGATCGTAAAAGTTTCTAGCAACCTAAGGCTGTCCTGCTTGCGTTGTTATTACTGTTCTTGAAATTTTGTGGTTTCTTCTTACAGTTTGTCGTGATCACTGAACGAGTTTCATTTTATGTTTCTCTTCTTCAGGTCTGTTCATTTCATGGGTTACGCTTCAACTATTCGCAGTCGTCTTCGGAAGTTGATTTGGTTGGACTAGTGATCTTTTGCAGTCCTCTGTCATCCTTCTCTAGTTCAAGGTAGTGTCGAAATATGTTTCAACTCTCGAAGTGATGAGCAGCTTTTGTATATAGATATTCGTCAACCTCTCCTGAGAAAGAAACGTCGTACTTTCTTTTTTCTGCCGATTATCGTGTAAAAGAAGACATGCAACACTGTTGAACACTGTTCTCAAACCTATTCCGTATCTCTGTGAGAATACGTTCTACTAGAACTCTATTGATTTTTATTAACAACTATTCATTGTATTATTTGCCACTAGTTCCAATGTACAGACTGTCTATTTATCTGACGAAGAGAGCAACATAGTAGCAATCAAGTTTTGGGAAGGACTAAAGGTTTTGATAAATTCTTGTATTTTTCGGTTTTGTTGCACTGGTTGGTGGTTTTTATATATATGTATGTATAGTTTTAACTTCACCTTCCAAGCTCTCTTTTTTCCTTCCAAGTTTTTGAAGACTTCTGTTCAAATTCCGATTGAAAACGTTTCTATATTGGCAGTGAACAACGCAGGAAATTCGAAACGTCTTTACATCCAATTCAGTTGCATGTAATCCTAACCTCTTGCAAATTGTTACTCGCGTATTCACACATATGTCGCAATAAGCAGTTGAAATGATTACAATCTCGACCAAAATTATCTGTCATCTCGATGTAATATTTGTCCTCTTTGATAAATGCAGGCGGTTGCTGTAGATGATCTTATCAAAGCTGGTAACTTCATATGTTGCAGTAACCTGACAGTCCGCCCAGACGACCGCGCCCAGTGCCCGTCATTAACCTTCTGGGAACTGTCAAACGTTTCCCTGAAGCCTCGTGAACCACACCTGCGGGCTGCCCTACATACCTTACAGCAAAGTATACAGGTAGGTGCATGCAAATGTGTAGAAACGCGGTAGTCCGGGAATAAGACACTTTAAGCCCGTTATGTAAACAAAGTGTAGTCGTTGTTTGACAAAACTGCTTTCCAAGCAATCTTCAGTTTAGCCGAATCTCTTATATGGACATTTATTTTTGTGAATAGTGTCAAGATGGCGGAAAGCTAATAGTGGAAGGACATTTATTTGATTAAATCGACCCTCTTATAGAGAATCCAAGAGGCCCATTACTTGCTTAAAACCGCGGTTTAGGTGAGACCTCGTGTAAAGAACCGGCCCTTTAAGTCTGTTATCATGATGTCGTATTCTGTCAAGAGTGGACACAGCTTGGCCTGAGTTGCTCCACTATTAGAAAAGGGCATTGTTTCTCTCTTTCTTTTTCAGTTCTTTTTTGTTACTGCATAAGCCAATTTCTTTGTCTCCCACTCATCAGTTTCTATATAAAGGCTCAGTTGTTTGCATTATAGTTGGAATTCTAGTTTATTCCCCGGGCTACTTCCATTAGAATTTACACATATCCAATGATGTTATATCAATATTCCGGCTTGGTATTCACTTCCGTGTTCTTTATGCAAAATGTCACTTTCAGTAATCCGACCTAATAACTTCATGAACGCTCAAAAGTTATTTTCCCTGGTAGCAGCTCGAGGAAATGATGATTTAGGAATATCAGAATTCTCAATCAGTAATGCTACATTGGGGCATGAGTTTCTTTTTGTTGGATTGTTTTCAGGATTTGCGCCTGTTTATGAGCCAGATTCAAGAGAAGCTTAATTTCATTTTGCATCCAAATAAAGCATCGTTACCAGAGAATCTAAAGGTCGACGCAATCCGTGTCCATCGTCAATCGTTAGACATTACCTCCAGCCTCTGTCAAAATAATGGTTTTATTTCTTCTAAAGCAAAAGAAGTATTACACTCCTCTGGGAAGGTGGGTATAAACTCGAGGAAAATCAAAACAGCTTCTGAACTTTCTTTTTCCTCTTTATCGAATCGATTAAGGCTTTGCATTTCATGGCGACAGGCTCGTTTTCTTCGTGTCGCTGACGGATCAAGGTGTAGCACCCATTACAGTTTTCATCTTGTACCTTAGCTCAGCCCGGAATACCAATAGAATATTGCGGTATTCATTTTGCTAATTTATTCGCTTCGAATTATTTTCTTTTTCATGACGAGCGAATGTAACGCATCAAGAAAATCAAGCCAACGTGATCTTGATGAAAATTCAGTCTCTCTTCTTAAAGCCCATTACTAAGAGATTTTTCCAACACACTGTTTACGTATTTTCTTTCAGGAAATTGGCCCAAACTTACTCGCACCACCATCTTCATGTGTTGATGTTAAAGTTTCGCACCAATCAGATGACCCCAGCTTGGAGACTCCCGATCCAGCCACGCATAAAGTCAATTCCCGCGCAAAGCGTACACGTTCCAAACGGAAGTTATTAGAGAGTATCCCAGAACCTCCGCCTTTATCGCCGCTACCCAGTCTCATTCCGGCTAGTGTCAGAAGAGAATTCAAAAAGCCACGGCGAGCTGAAAACCAAGGAAATATCCACAGTAAACAGTGAAGACTATGCGGGAACTACAGAATATTGTACACCGATTAAGGAACGCGCGCATCAAGTTCACCGTCTGTTCATGTTAGACTCACCGAACGGTCCCTGCCTCATTTAACAAGGCACTTACCATCAGTCGGACCTGACGGGCCACGCCGGTCCATTCTTAACCCTTAAATTCCAAGATTGTATTAATATTTAATTTCTCCTTGCAATTCTAATATGACTTGTTATCTTGCAAACAGGTTTTGAGAAAAGATAAGTTTTTCGGCTAGAGGTTGTTTTCTTGATATTCTACAGGAAAGCTATGGCAGTTAGTAAGTGCAATTGTTATGCGGATCTTGGAAGTCAAAGAGTTAAAGACAATCCTGCCCTTTCATCAGTGAGTACTTTTCGGCCAGGTCGGGAAACCTTAGATTACCTTGACAACGTTATGATGGATTTTTTTCTTAATTCACTTTAAAAAAGGGTCCATTAAGCGTTGAATTAACCAGACTGTCGGTCAATGTAGTAAGTGTCCCTTATTATTACTGCGCTGAAACAGAAATCGGTTTCACTTGTGTTTCGAGATAATGGTTAATTTTTACGGTATTTCATTATCATGTTGGGTTACTTTATTTTAATTGACCTGGTGTGTGTACAATGCATTTTATCCGAGATTTCACATGTGAAACAGTGCGTCATCAAACCTGGTATATAAACAGGTCAGCCAATCGGCTGTTACTGTAACCTTAAGATTTGGTCCCCAGCTAAGTCTGGTAAGACATTCCGTACAAAATCTAATAATTTCAAAGATGATAAAAATTCATTTGGACGGCCCTCTCGCGCGTGAGAATTAATAGCGAGGTAAGCCGTCAGCAGTATCACTTAAATTATTCGGCGAAAAACTTGCTTTCAGTTCTAAGAAGTTAATTTTCATCTTTATAACTAATTCCACTGGTTTTCATATTCCCAATGTGAGTCTTTGATTGAAAGGTTTATAAATTTTACATGTGTACGTTATGTCTTCATTTTAGACGCTAAAGGGCGATGTGTTTTTGTTAAGAACAAGAAATTTTGATTATCTTTGGTTTCAACAAACGGATAAGTTGTGTAAAAGATAAATAGTAAAAGTTACATTAGCATGGTTTTATTACGGTAACGATAATGGTTAAAAGTAATCCTAAGTTTTTGAAAAACGATACTTTAAAAAATACATAATTTATCACTGTTCTGTGAAACTGCTTCCTGCAATGTACTTCCTAGTCTCCTTCCCAGCTTCTTCGAAGCCGTTCTTAGGACTCGTCACGCAACGCTCTTCTTGCGTGACGAGTTTAAGAACGGTTGCAAAGGGGACTAGGTTCTTCCATGTCAGAACAAGTTGTTCAGTTTCTACTGAAAAAGGCTTTCGGTATAAGATATTGTTTAAGGACATAATCGATTTGTCCTTGATGATTTATTTATGGTTGTATTTGCTATGAAGTATTGGAATAAAGGTGAAGGACTTTTGGTGGATGTTACCTATTTCTTAGACCTCTTGTAAGTAGCAAGTATGTTACTCCACCGTTATAAGGTAGACTATCAAGCAGCTTTCAAGTGTCCTCTACAGCCGCTCTTTGGAAAGTCACGCAAAACTTTACTCGGATAACGTGGGGAGCGTTGTGTGACATCGTTGGAAACGGCTGCGCAGAAGACCAGCTTAGTGAAGGACTGGTGCGCAGTGTAGCTAATTTACATATTAATATGGCGACTAAATATTGACGTTTTCCTGATGGTTTGGTCGATCGTATTGTACCTAATATTTGCATTTTGATTAAAGGCTTTCCTTTCGCAGAAAGGATGATCTGTAAGAACGGCGTTCCAGTGCGAAATGCACCAAACCTTCACGAGGCTGGTAGGTTCAGACAAAACAGAGATCACTTGAGTTTATTTATAGGAGTTCTGCGACAAATGTAAACCGAAGTTTAGAGGTTTTTTTTTTTGGCAATTCCGTCGTCTGAAATGAAGGACATTTTCATGAAGTCGCGGATTTTGTTTCACAATGAACACTATCGTCCTACTTTTTGAACTGTGTTTTTTAGTTTGATCATGACTCTGGTCACAGATCAAACAGACCTTTCCACAGATCAGTGTTCGTAGACAATAACTGTTTTATAAGTACAACAATTTTGCTTCCTTTTAGTTCATCTTCGGCTAAGCTTCGAGTTTAATTAGCTGAAATAATTTTCTGCTTACATTTTGGTTCCTCTGTCTGAGGTCTAGTGAAAATCTCAACGAATGGGATTTCTTCACGAAATCTGGTTGACCTTTTCAATTTTGAAGTTTGTACTAGATATGAAATATATTATTATAGTATTTTTCATTCTTTTCTTGGATAGTAAGCTTATGATTCTGAACTTCTTTTTTCAGCATTCTCAGGTGACACACGAGAGGCGTCCCAAGCCCTTGATAATGGACAGGTTTGAAATTTACAATTTAAACTTTGGTGGTGTAAACACTATTGAATTACTAATAAATACGCGCGATCAGAACATAACACTATTTCATGGAAGTGGATTTAAAATAGTTAATTGCGAAGTAATGAAGGAAATTGAGTCATTACTTGAACATTAGAAATAGCATGAATAAGTGATAAAATCCATACTAAGAAAAATTATTAATTTAAGGAGAATTAAGTGCTAGTACATATGTACGGTACATCCAAGGAGTTGAAGTTATTGGTCGACTGAGGTGTTGGGTATTTTTGGAGGGGAAAAATACAGAAAAATCTTCTGAGAAAGGAAGAGAAACAACAAATGGAAAATTCGTTATCCAAGTTATCATCCAACACTCACCATAGTTAGCTCCTAGGTCTTGTAATTTCTCAAATGTCTCAGTAGAATTGTCAGCCATTAAAAGTTGTTTCTTATTAGCTGCATCATTTTCATCGGAGGTTAGGGTGTCCTCTAAATATTGAACAGCAGATCTACATTATTCCTTGGCTGCGGAATTATCGACAAATCTACAGTGGATGGATAATAATATAAACAACCAATTCCATGGGAACTGATTTGTAGCCTTTGATAAAATTTTGTTCCTTCTTCTTCTTAGTGGGGCTAATTGAGATGATAGACTGTAATCTACAGCTGCAGTTCTTGTGGAAGTAGTTTTAGAAATAGATTTTATACTATGACTGGGGTTCTTTAAAGTTAGAGGGGCTTTGAATAAAGGAAACCTCAGTAGTAGCTTGGTTATAGCAGTTATAGCAGTTGTAGCTTTGTGTCCTCCCTGTGCTCAATAAATGTAAATACCATTATCATCGTATTTCGTCTTATGGACTTTTTAGAAGGAAATGGTATTTCTGAAGAAATAAAAGAGGGCTTAATTCCATAATTTACAAGGAATGAAACATTTTTTAAGGTTTTAATTTTAAATCAGTGCCATGGAAAGATACTTTAAATTAAAATTCTTGGAATTAAGGATTTAAATTAACTCAGATTCATGTTCATCCCCCTTCAAAATTGTTCAATTATGACAAAGGAGGCTGGAATTAAGGAGTAAAGGGGATAAGTTTCTAAAGAAACTGCAGTGCTGCATCAGTGGAGGAATTTAACCCTTTAACTCCCAAGATCTGATTGTTAATTCTCCCCTGTAGCTTCTACACATTTCCTTGTAAATTAGTTTATGAGAACTTGGTGCTAGATCAAGATAGCAGCTTCTACCTGATAAATTTGAATATTCTCATTACCTGATTGCTGAAGAATGTATGGATATTGTTGGGAGAATTTTTCTGTTAACACTTCTGGGAGCTAAAGGGTTAACCAGGTAAGTTGGTATTATCAATGAAGTTGATAAGGTAGATAAGCCACCATTAAAAGTTTCAAAGCCGATGTTTCAAGCATTAGCCCTTCATCAGAGCAACTGGAATTAAGGTTTGGCAGGGGTATTGAAGGCCACGCGTTTCTTTGTTCTGTCTGAAGTTAAATTTTATTGCTGTATGGTAACTTGTAACATTTATTTCAGAGTCCAAAAGAGTTTGATGAATCTGGCTCCACAGCAGTGCATAAGGCTGCTGCAAATGGACATCTGGAAGTTCTTAAACTGCTAATTCAACATGGTGGAGATATTGAATTGCCTGACATGTCTGGTTGCATGCCACTACATGTCGCAGCAAGAAATGGCCATCTGACCTGTGTGAAGTACTTAGTTTTGCAAGGGGCAGACTTCAGATTGAAATCAAAGAAAGGAAACACAGCAATGGCTATGGCCAAAGCCAACAGTCAGCAGAAAGTTGCAGAGTATTTGTCAAACTGTGGTAAGATAATCCTCCCAGTAAATTGAAATATTCTTGCAAGGTTGTGAATTGTTCTGACCCCTTTACCATTTTTCTAGATTGCAAAGTTCCAACTTTGTTTTGTACATACATGTACACTACACTGTAGGGGAAAGATTTGCCTTTGGTACCTGCCCCCCCCCCCCCCTCTTATGCAACTGTTTCCCTAAACATTTAATTTTTCTCAATCTTCAATGTGATTATGGAAGGATCAAAACAGTCTTGGAAGCTTGTTTTGTTCTGACCCTGTCACCACTTTTCTAGATTTCAAAGTTCCAATTTTGTTTCGTACATGTACTATCCTGTTGGGAAAAATTCCCTCCCCTACAACTGTTTTTCTAAACATTTCATTCTTCCCAATCATCTATTTAATTATTTTATTTATATACTATTTCATTTATCTTTCTTTAAGTGGTTTTAATTTCAATTTTTTATTTTATTTTTTTGTGTGTTTTTGGCCAATTAGAGTAACTATGGTAAAATGAGAGATTCCTTGTGAAATGTTATTCACTACACAAAATCCAGAGTAAGCAATTGCTATCCACTATACTTAACCAATCCACTGCACAGACCTCATTTGTAATTCTCCCTTCTCTCTGCTGTACAATTCTCATTGTGATTGTTACAAGAATTTGATGATGGATCAACTAATAATCCCCTAATTGACATTTCTCTTTATTCTCATCACTTGTCTGCTTGATATTCTATTGATGTTGTAAGGAGAAATTCTTTCTTGGCCACTAATGGAAGTTTAAGGGTCAATAACAAACATTCTTGCTGTATGACCATCAATAGCTGTACCTCTTTTATTGGTCAAATGGAATAATGTTCTTCACATCAGTAGCTATTATTGTAGCGTTTATGATAAAATTATGACTGTCTGTTTCTTTCATTTTGACAGACAGGGAAAAGTTTGCTTGGGAGGTTGTATAAGAATCCAAGTTGTCGTGGACATAAGGCTGTCTGGATGTAACATAACATGTATTTAATAATATGTGTTTAACAAAGTAACAGGAAATATTATAAATTGTTAATGAGGATTACTTGAATGTATTAATAATAAAGATATTTATACTTGAAGCAAGATTGTATTTTTATTGATGGATTGATTGATTTATTTAGGTATGCAGTACAGTACAAGGTACAAGGTTCTAGTTGAATAAACAATAGGACTTGGGGTCTCCCTACAAGGTCTTCTGCCAACCCAACCCACTAACATTTCCTCTAATCCTTACCCAACTTACTCTCATTACAAACTAGGTATAGACAACAGACTACATGTACTGTGATTAGAAATCCTCTCCTGGCCAGGTCATTGTGTTGTGTTCTTGAGCAAAATACTTTACTCCTGCAAGTGTCTCTCTCCACCTAGGTGTATAAATGATTTTTATTTGTAAATGATAAATGATTTGAAATTGTGACCTGGCAAGATCATTATGCTGTTTTCTTGGGCAAGTCTCTTTACTCCTACAAGTGTATCTCTCCACGTGGGTGTATAAATGATAGCAGAAATTGTCAGGGAGGTCTGATAAAATGGTGATGGACTAGCATTCCATCAAGGGGGGAGTAGTACATTTAATACTCCTAGTCACTTCATGCTGAGGAAACTGGAATAAACTTCTGCTGGATAGGCTTTTTGGCTCAGTTACAGTCTTTACTTTTACCATCCTGGAAACAGTTGACTTGCTTCCATATATGGCATCATTTTCATTACCTACTGGTATTTCATCATTGTTTGTACTCACCTTGAATGGTTTCAAATGGAGACTCTGACAGTTAAGGAAATATTTTAGGAACTTTTTATGGTTGGGAATTATCCCCTAGTCAAGGTTTTTGTTCCTTCCATCACCTCTCCTGGTGAAAATCTACCAATGTTGTATTTAGGAGTACACCTTTTTTCTAGTTACTTCTAACAGTGAAATGACTTTTTTTCAATTCTCGGGACTAAAGAAAGGAAAACATGTGTTTTCAAGTTTATCTTCATTGGTGTGGATATTCTATTGCAGTTATTTTGCTGATTCTACCATTTAAACTGACACTGTTTTGTGTTGTGCCCATGAGAACTTGATGATTCAAGCCAAAACAGTACTGTTCATTACAGTGTCTTTTGCAATTTTAACCCTTTCACTCCCAAGATCTCATCAGTAACACTCCTTACTGTCTGCCATACAATTCTTGTGATGTTAGTTCAGAGAATTTGGTATTGGATCAACTAATAATTTCTTAACTGATATTTTTCTTTATTCTCATTACTTGCATACTTGATATTGTATAGGTATTGTAAGGAGAAATTCTGTCTTAGTCACTCATGGGCACTAAAGGGTTAAGCTAAAACCCTTTGACCCTCCAGAATGACTAGCTTCTTATTTGTAATTACAATTTCACCCATGAATATTAACCTCTCACACCCAAACATTAGTATGAATGATCTCCATACTGTTTCCTGAACACTTCCTGAGGTGCTGATGAGGAGAATTTGTTTAACAATCAAGAGCTTCTTAAATTGGTGATAATTTCCTTATTCTTGTGACCTCAATGTTTGATTCAGGGGTGGTACTGTGAGGAGAAATGAGTCAAAGCAAGTCACAGTTAAGGGTAAGTGGGTTAAGCTAAAGAAAATAAAGGAAAGGATTGCCAAACTAAGAAGCTTTGATTTTTAAATGAATTCCTCTTGTCATTACTAAAAGAAATGTATAAAGAAGAGTATGGAGAAAATGAATGCTGATGTTAGGGCATCAGGGGTAAAGACTAATACACTGCATCTACCACAATCACACTACTATTTTATTATTATTTGCCACCACAAGATAAGCAGAGGTAGAAAAACCCAAACATTGAAGTACAGTTTATGCTGGTCATGAAAATGTTTCACAATTTTTGAATATTCACCTAGAGCTTTAGTTTCTGTCATTATCTGCAAGACTGATTATTATACTAGCTTAGCAATAAGCTTAACCCTTTAACTCCCAGATCAAAATAGTAATTCTCCTTACTGCCAACCATACAATTCTTATAATGTTAGTTCAAAGAATTTTGTATTGGATCAACTAATTATCGCCAATTTGATATTCTCTTTATTCTCTTTACTAATCTAGTTGATATTGTGAGGAGAAATTCTGTCTTGATCACTCATGGGAATTAAAGGGTTAATGATTTACTACAAAAAAATTTTTGAACTCCCATCTCAGTTTGGCACAGATTCTGTTACAAAATATATCAGGAAGTCATACATACTTAGTTCCACTTTCAGTGTATTTTGACTTTTTTAAAGGTCAACAGAGGCATTTGAGTTAAACTCACTCAGGTCAGGTGTTTGTTATTACACTATTGCTGTGACATTAAATTCTGACTAGGTTGAACTTCATATTTTGTTAAAATAAGAATTGCCTCTTAATGTATATAGTCATCTTATTTTCATTTAGTAACTCTAAAATGTTGCCATTGTATTTAATAACAATAAATTTTGGACCACCAAATCTAATTTTAATAATTTCTATTTTTTCCAAATACGTGTTCATGTACAATTTGAACATTTCATTTCTAATGAATAACTTTGTGTATTTTTAAGCACCCCCTGCAATAATTCAAAATTACTGTTGCAAGCTTTGTCTATGGTGCTCAAATCTTACCGCTTCAGTGTAAACTGGTCAATTATTGTCATTTCATAACAAAATAATACTATCAATATCGTGGTTTTTCTGAATATATCACCCTAAAATAGTTCACAAATTTCAAAGGTGGCTTCACGTTAAGTAACCACTAGTGATGGTGAAGCTTTTTGTTTAGTTGTGTGAAACTAAATTATCAATTGTCCAAGAGCAAACTTAGGTGATCCTCAAAGAAATTGATACAAATGCAAATGCAGCATGATGCACTGACTCTACAGTAATGGGTTTAAAACATGTATTTGTGTGAGAAGTTTTTTTCTAAAGAGTACTGAGTACATACTTGTAAAAATGAAAGTTCAATAGTCTTTTGTTTTACTGATCAAACATAAGAAGTAATGAGAAATATATCATGGTTAACTTGAGTGAAACTTTTACAAAACCAGCCCTAAAGATCACAAGGGATTAGGAACTATTGACAGCAAAGAGCTTGACACATTTTAACATGAAATTAGTTACAAAGAAATGTTAATCAATCTAACAGAGCAGGCAAACTTGTTGACAATAAAGTATTCACTATAAACAAAGTTTAGGTTTTCAGGTTACCATGTGTATTGAACAATGACACCTTATGCAAGTTGTATACCTACATGTGCATTGCAAATGTTAGTAAGTTATAGCCTAATTATTTAAGCCAGTGACACTAGGTCATTATAACTACCAATTGTAGCTCACCAAACTGCCAGAGAGACATATTTAGGGTGTGCTTTATACAGGTACACTTGTCAATAATCTACAGCCAATTACAGCAATATTTGGTCCTTTGACATCATCTTAGAGCCGCATTTTACAAAATTGTGTGACAAACTTGTCCAATCTCATTAGTTTTCCCTTATTTTCCATTTGCTAAAAATGGGAAAAGAAAATTACTGGGATAGCAATACAAGGCAAATGCTAATGTATAATAGCTGACAACAATGGAAAAAAATTGCAAATTATGTACCATGCACATTTCATGATTTTCCCAGAATACCACAGTCAGTTAATCCAATCACCTAGTAACTTATTTCAGTCTTTCCGTTCTCTGTAGCTAAGTTGGTGAAGCATGGACCCACAAAATTAAAAAAAGGACTGAGGTAAAAATCCTCAAAGGCAAACATAATCTATCTGTTTTTCCCTTGAATATGATAAATATGTCTAACTTAAGTCTTTTTTCATCTAATAAACAAATTAAACTTTTTCAGACAAAACAGAATTGGTTGAACCTTCATCAAAATACACATTGAAAAGATCAATAATATTGGAAACTAAATTACATTCAGCCCTAAGAGAATCATGCACCCATAAATAAGGGCTCTGTACATTGAAGAAATCCACTCTCAAAAGTTTTCTCTGAAAATCTGGCAACACTGTTTCTTGCATTGCAGCGGATAACATTCCTCTCCTCTGGTGAAAGGGAAAATATTGTTTCCATTGCAGATGCATAGCTTTTCTTGTCACTTGCAAGAAACCCTGTTGGTTTTCCTTCCCATTCAATGACAATGTCCATTCTGGGACCTCCAGAGTCATGAGCCAAGACAATGGCACCACTTGCCATACACTCAACAACGCCAATACCAAAATGTTCATTCCACATAGTGTGGAGACCAATAGTGGCTTCAGCAAGATAAGATTTGAGCCTGTCAAAGGAAACATTCAAGGCAAACTCAACATTCTTTTTTATTTCAAGCTTTGAAACCAGCCGCTTCAGAGAAACAACTCTATCTTTGTCTTCTTGATTTCGGCAGCTTCCAACAAGAATAAGCTTAAACTTGTGTCTATCTTTGGCCATTTGGCATTTAAGGAATTCATGAAAGGACTCTATTTGGAGTGGGTGGTCTTTTTCTGGTCTGAACTGTCCCACTGACACTATGGAATGAATACTTTCATCATCATCTTCATTGCCGTCAACCCTGTCAACCTTCACAGGCAGCTCTAGGAAAGCTTTCGTGTCACAGGGGGGATACACTATTGATGTCCGGTTCTTCTTTCGCCACAATGACACGATATGGCCATAAGTCCAGGTGGAGTTTACCATGACAACCTCAGCACATGAGCCAGCCAAACCATACAGCACAGCAAACAGGAAATAATAAATTGACTTGATTGCACTCAGGACACGACTATTACTAATATAAGCGGCATTATTGTAGGAAGCTGTTTGATCACCCACACGTGACAACATGTCAGTGCTGATGGTAGGGTAATGAACATAGCAACCAACCTGGCATCCTCCCAGATAGCGAAACATTGGCAGGGTAAAGGCATAGCCCATGGTGTCCACAAATATGTCCGGCAAATAACTGTTCAAGGCTTCCCAGCCCAGAATCATGGAACCAAAGCTTTGTCCCAAGAGAGTGAAATGTGGATACGTGCTCGCTTCGACCCAGCGCCTTTTCTTCAAGAACACAAACTCTACTGATCGAGGTAACGATATGTTGAAACGTTCTTCCGCTTTGCGGAGAATTTCCTTCCCAGTCACGAACGAGTCACCGGTGTACACAACACAGCGAACAAAATTATAGCGCCTCTGAAGAGCACGAATGCCAGTCCACAGCACTCTTTCTCCTCCACCTCCTGCATTGCAGTAGGGGTGAAAAAAACCGACCACAACGGGACGGAAATGTTCTCCCTCACCTTCCACATATCGGAGATGTGGAAGCGCATCCTTTGATTTTCTTCGTACGTAAAATCGAAGAGCGAAGACAACTAATGCCAAAATGATTACGGATAATGTTCCGATTATGACGGACCAAATGGAAGCCTGTTTAATTAATGAAGTCATCTTTTCACTGGTGAAACACGTCATTGCAAGTTTCTTGAGAAATGTTATCAAAAATATGGATGAATGTTTCCACACGAACGCTTCAAGAAGAACGGTGAACGGTGACGGTCACTATACTAGGTAACCATTCCTTCTAGGTACCAGTTCCTTCGCAAAAATGCTTCATCGACACCCTTCCCCTTTATTTCCTTACTAAAGGTGGGTTTAATCGCGGAGGGAATAGGAAGTCATTACTTAAATACATCTAATCAACAAATACTAAGAAGGGAAATGTAGATTGAAAAACTGAAGGAGGTTAGGTTCGGTTCTATGACGCAACCATTGCCGCGTAAGACCAGTACATCATGTGACATGTAAAAAGAGAAAATGAGAGAACATACCTCGTCTCTGGTGAAATTTTGATGTAGGTGCTTGTCATTCAAAGCCTCGAATTTAGTGATTTATTGTTCTTTGGTTTGCCCGAAATTTTTGCTACCATTAAGATGTAACTAAGCGTGAAAATAGACCACCTGCAGGGCCGCGGAAGTGGAAGGGGATGGAAAACATGGAGATCAAAGGAATTTTAAAGATTCTTAACTTCTTTCTAGAGGACTGCGTGATCTTCGACTTACCTATCATAGAATAAGCTCAATTTAACGCGCAATTTGATTGGTTTTTACCCATTATCTATTGGAAGACAGAGGCATGGATGACATCACTATTAACGTTTTTTGTTTCTGAACACTAATAAATCACAGAAGACTTCAAAATGAGGTAAGGACATTAGTTATACACGCGGCTGTACCTCGTGTGCCAGTTTTTGGCTCTTATCACATTTTAACGCCATCTGTGATCTATTACAGGACAGACGCACGGCAACATGGAATCTATTTGTTCGGTTACAACTGAATGAGAGGCATCCCAGCACTTATGTTGCGATACATTCGCACAGGAGGATGGCAGCGCCTTCGATTCAATTCGAAATCTTAGCGAATAAAAATCACCCTGTCCTAATCAGCGTTCTTTTATACGATCCCAACACCATGATTCAACGGTGCGTTTGTTCATTCTGCGTTACTTTTATCCTCCCCTACCTTCACAAGAAAAGGGAAAGTTAAAGCCCAAAGTTAACAACGGCGTTGTTAAAAAAACCCCGTCCAAAACAATTCTCAATTTAGATGGACCTTTCATCTTAACATTTATTTTTGTGAACCGGTGTCAAGAGGGCCGAAATATACTAGAAATTTACAAAAGGAGTCTTTTGAATATTGCGTAACTATGGTATCTAAGAATATTGACATTAAGGTTGTTTTTTCAATTAAAAAGGGAACATTTGAAAGAAATCAGAGGGTTTTACTTATCAGAGATCTAATGTATAGTTACTGAGTTTCAAAAACACGTCGAGAAGTATCGATGCTGGCAGATATCATTCGAGTCTGAGAAAAGAAACGCAGCAATTACACTGTAGGCTCCATGGCCCATGATGGATAATTAATTGAATATACTTATTTGTATCTTTGAATAAGAGAAAAATCATCTAACCGGATCTTTCAAACCGTCAGGGAAAGAACTCATGTAAGGCTCCACCAAAACAGTGGGATGCATTGGTTAACTTAACTTATAAAGGCAGCACAGAGGACTGCAAATGATATAGTTATAACACAAAAAGTTCAAGGTTTTCTTTTCCGTATCATTTTTTGCCTACGTTCCCGTTGTTTTTAGCGGCGAATTGCCTCGCATATCCAGCGCGCGCACCTCGTCATAAATTTCTTAGGCTACTGTGACGCGCCAAACTTTCACTGTCCTATTTTCAACACGACAAACACAGTTTTGAGCCGCACAGTGAAACAGAAGAAGCTTTTCTACATGAAACTAGGTAACTTCGATTTTGGGACTTATTGTTTTAAACATATGCGTCACCAGGTTGTTTTCGTGTGCTTAACATCCTCGGATACACAAAGATGATGTTATTACATTATGTTCGTTTTTCCGAACATAAAGATTCATTTTCCGTTTTTTTTTTGTACAGTGTCTTGATGATCGCATCCGACAGCTAAACTAGGTAATTATTCAAATAACTTGTACTATCTTTAGAATCCCAGACAACAGATGAAATAACATGATATAAACTCGGCTTTGTTTCCTGAAGAACAGTCAAACTTTGACCCTCACCCATGTTCTTTTTTTTTTTTTTGATTTCTCAAGCATTGCGCTCAAACCAAATCTGTGATAAGCGTTAATGAATATTTTCGACTTGTAGAACCACATTTTCTTTAAGTCATTTGTTCCTATATCATCTTTTTGGACATAAGGGATCCAGGTAGGCTATCTAACACTTGTAATCTGCGTTACAAACTATTACATATCAACTACTTTATGAACTGATACCTGTATCTTATTGGTACATGATTTGTCAAATCTTGTTTGCAGGAAGTTGCACATCCGGTGAAGGAAAAATCGCAAGAGAGCACTGAGTTTCATCCCGATTATTAATGTCGTTGTCAACAAAGATAAGAGTCACCGCAGTGTTTCTTGTTGCCGTCGTTCTTCTTGTTACGGTGGAAGAATCCGAAACCAGAGGACGTGGTGGTAGAGGCAGATCGGGAGGCTCTAGAAGCTCTGGATTCAGTAGAACAAGCTCAAAATCTAAAATAACCAAATACACACCAATCAAAGCCACTTCAGCTCGCTCCCCAGTAATCGTCTCACAGACCAAACTGGGATCACGTTTAAGCGCGTTTAACACAGTCCTCTTTGCCTATGCGGTTCACCGCTACGCGTTCAGCAGCGCCCCAGTCTATCGGCAGCGATATCCAATGTACCGAAGTTATGTCTCCATCCCGGAGCAAGGAGCTGTGAGGGTGACCTGTGAGAGTGAAAGACTGCTGAATGACAGAGGAAATTTGTGTTTGGATACATCAGCAGGGAATCAAACTATAAAGGAAGGAATCGACGACAACTTGGTTGACTTAAGAACTACAGTGAAGTACAAAAATGGAGAAACGAAAACACTACACGGGATTAACAACACAGTGTCCCTTGAAGACATCAAGGATCAAGGCTTCGAAATTGTAAGTCTCGCCCGATACAACACCTCGATTGTTACCGGAACAACTTGTAAACAGGTGGAAAAGACCGTCGAGGGTACGATGGTCATGTTGTACGAGACAAATCCCAACGGCTCAGGCCAACTGAACATCAACAAAAAAATACTATCATCTGTAGTTACTTTGTTTGTATTTATCAACACGTTTCGTTACTCATAGTTAGTATCCATGAAACATCTTTAAACTCTTTCTGGCTGGTTAGTTAGGTTGATATCATACACACTGAACTAAATGAAAATACGCGGCCCGCCAGTTGGTGTAGTAGGACACAATTTACATGCAATTATTATAAATATATATTCTAGTTGTTTTTGGTAAAATGTCATGTTACCAATGGCATTTAATTCGTAGTCGGTGAAAGGATTTTCATTTTTCAAGTACCATTTACGTAGGAGTTTAAAATTTTGCCAATAAAGACTGAGAAAACACGATGTGCGCGCGTGACAAAACACATGCACGATTGATATTCATGATGTTTAAGTTATTTTCCATGACGGAACCTCGAACAGAGAAAAAAAATAATGCGGTCCACTCCACTAGGTAGCTGCTCAGTCCGAGGTCTCAATAATCCCTAAAAATAACTCTGTAGATCGTTATTTAGGATCAAATGGGAAGAAAGGTAATTAGATGCTAAGGCCTCTTATTCGAGTTTAAAAGCGGATGCACTTTGGGAAAATGTCACGCAATACAGATTTGCCCTCAGTGTACCTTGGATTACCCATCTTAAAGTCACGCTATATGACAATCAATTGGAGGAAATAAACTTTACAAACATTACTTGATGATTTATCAAAGTCAGTAACACTTCCAATAACAACGGAAATAACAATGAAAATAGTAAAAGTTATAATGCGATCAATAAAAATAATCATCATCGATTGTTGTTATCATTTTGACCAGTACCAAGCCAATGACGATGATATTCCCCAATCCTGCTTTCTCTTGCGATTTGATAAACAAAAATAGTATATTTTATGATTACTGGTAAGTTTTCTACTAAATATTACACGGTTAAGTTAGTTTAGGAGCTATAGGAGGTTTTAGGTATTTTGCGTGCAAAGGTAGATTCAATCTACATTTATGACCATTAAATACTAACTGTTCTAAATGTTAGTGACGAGAAACTTAAAACCTGCTATCATTTATGTAATTGCAAAAACGTTTTCGAGTCAAGTTTCATTTCAAAGTGAAAATCATAATATTTTTTGTGTCTTTGTTGCACGTAAACTCAATCATAGTCAGTCTAGCATTTTAAAGAGATTTGACTGTACGTTCCTTACAATGAGTAACGAAGAAAAAGAGCACAGGTATGTGTGGAAGGTGAACAAATGAAAATATGCTGCAGCATTACATGAGTAAGCAAGCATTGTTGTCTCTGGGACTATGATAGTGTTATGCATAAGCACTCTTTGTATGTAAAGACACTTAATTTATTACGCTCGTTAGCTAACGCAAGAAAATTAAAAAGTACACAATTAATCTTCAATATCTGGTTCGTTATTTCTGATCAGGTTTCGTCCCACAAAAACAGGTTATTGCTCATTTTACACTATAAATGTTGTATTTTCCATTTTGGATATCTGTCAAGACTTACAGAGCGTGAGAAAATTACAGGCATCTTCATCCCTAGTTCAGAACTAATGACAGTGGATTATTAATAAAAATTTACATTTAAAATTGCTCCGGTCTTGATTTTCTAGATCAAAAGAATTTCTGTATAATAAAATTCCTACAGATTTAAAGAAATTGGTTAACGTTGCTGCAAGTCTTGTCTTGTCGACCGTATCACACCAACTTGAACAGCTGATCGTCAGTTTCGTACTTTTCTGGCACGTATTACATTTGTTAAGCTCCAGCGTTTCAGCTTGTTTATTATCATGGGTATATCCATGCTCCAATTCCTTGAGCTTTTTCAATCCTTAATTTTGGCCTAATTTTCACATTGGCTAATTAAACCTTTCTTTGTGGCACAAGCCATAACAACTGACTGGGCTGCTACATCATATTTTAATGTCTTTTACTTGTTTATCGCATGATTGGTCAAATCTTGTTTGCGGAAGAAAGCAGCTCTTAGGATTTGAGCCCACCTCCCCATCTGTTGAATATGTCACCGCCTACGCACTTCACGGAACAGTTATTTTCCTGCGCCCACGCACCAAACTTGCACATAAGTAAAGAAGAGATCGAAGAAGAACTGACTTTTTGCAGAATTCCACAAAGATGCGATTAACCACGGTGTTTATTGTCACCATCGTTCTTATCGCGATGGTGGAGTTATCCGAAACAAGAGGGAGATCAGGAGGTTCTAGAAGCTTCAGAACCAGTAGAACGAGAAGTAGCTCTGGAGGATCAAGCTCAAAGCCTAAAATCACCAAATACACGCCAATCACCGCTACTTCAGCTCGCTCTCCAGTGATTGTCTCACAAACTCATATGGGTTCGCGTTCAAACACGTTCAATAAAGTTGTCTTTGCCTACGCGTTGCACCAGTACGCTTTCAGCAACGCTCCAGTCTATCGGCAGGGATATCCAATGTACCGGATTTATGTATCTATCCCAGAGGAAAGAGCTGTAAGGGTGACCTATGAGAGAGAAAGGTTGCTGGATGAGGAAGGAAATTTGTGTTTGGGTTCATCAGCAGGGAGTCAAACTTTGGAGGAAGGAATTGACGATAACTTGGTTCACTTGAATACTACAGTGAAGTACAAAAATGGAGAAACAAAAACACTACTCGGTGTCGATAAGACGGTGTCGCTGGAAGACATCAAGGATCAAGACTTCAAAGTCATATGCCTCGCCAGTTACAACGTCGCGATTGTTAAAGGAACCACTTGTACACAGGTGGAAAAGACCATCGAGGGTACGATGGTTACCATGTACGAGACAAATCCAAACGGTTCGAGTCAGTTGAACGGAAATAACAACCTCCTTTCAATTTTGATTGCGTTGTGTGTATTAGTCAAAACATTTATTCACCAACAGTAAGAATCGGACTGGCCATTGTGTCTAGATTGTCCGTTGTATTCGAGAGATGATCGATTCGATTTGATAGCCGATCTCTTATTACGCGCAAAGTAGTATGTAATCAGAATTTGATATTCATCAGTTAGGTGACGATCAATTATGCATGGCACGCCATTCGGCAATTTCATTTGACTGGTAGTAACCTAATGCTAAATTTGCATTTTGTTTGTGTTTTCTGCATCGCTACCGATGACACTTAATCCGTAGTTAAAAAAATAGGTTCTTATCATGTAAATACAATTTTAGTAGGATGTTTTGATTTGCTAAATAAACGAAATGTGTTCGCGTGAGGAAAGCTATGCACGACTAATATGATATTGATTACGATGCAATAAAGTTATTTTTCATTACGGAATCTACGGTGGCCCATAGAGGACATGCTATCCATTTTTTAAATTCAATTTTATCGCGTGATAAATGAGATTTGTCGCGCGATAAAATTAAGATCGCACGATAAATGATAGACCATCGCACGATAAATTGGAAACTTGTTAGGTCGCACGTGATCGGCTGTCAGCGCGTTGTTTCCGTGGTCGACAATAGCTACCACAATTGAGGAGGCATGTTTTGAGGTCAATAGTTCGTTTATTTTCATGAAAAGATCGTTAAACAGTAGTTTGCAACACTTCTACGACAAACAGCTCTGTGAATCAGTACCGTAAACCTCGATTTTGCGAAATCCTTAGAGACACTTTCAGAGATGGCTGTCAGTGTCTGAGAACAAGTGTGGATTATCTTATCTTTCTGATTACATGGCAGGTTTGTAAAATTTCTAGACTAAGAAAGAACTTTCCAACTGTTTCAGCCATTGTCCTCTCGTCCACGGAAACACGGAAAAATTAAGGTTTAATTAAATACAGTTGATAATCAAACTTACAAATTGGAATAAAGAAATCGGTGTGAAATCACATTGAATTATCGGGATTGAAAGGGGCGAAGTTGCGATTGGACTTGTGAGTTGAGGCTGATTGATGAAACTGATTGAAATAACGAACTTGTCAAGTAAAGGAAGGATTGATTGATAAAATTAAACCTGAACAAAACATAAATAAAAAGTACTAGAAAAGCTGACGTTCCACGCGCTAACAGAAACGTTTATTAAAAGATCGAAATAATTCAAGTATGCATACTAGCATTTGGCTCACTCTTTTGCATTTGACACAACTTGCGTGTCAAAAAGTTCAGAAAACAAACGCAAGGTTTTAATTCATTTTATTGCTCCTCGAAAACAACTCATGCGATTAGTTACGATGGCCGTTGTTGTTGTTCTTCCGTCAAGGGGTCAGAAACAACTTGAAAACAAGGTAAGCAAGAATCCGCTTTGACGCAATAGAATTGATTGACAAGTGTCTACGTGGTCACTCATTTAGCTGAGAGTTTGTGATAATCTTGGTCAAATTTATTAACCGTGGTGAGTGAACTGCATCACGTATATAACACAGAGGATAGTAGTTTTCCTCCTGCAGAGTAATTGATAGAGACTGCATCACACGCACTCAATTTTCCCAAAGTTGGGAGGAGGAATTGACTTGAAACCCAGTTTTACTCGTCGTTACTGTTATCCAAGATGCGATTCGCTACAGTGTTGCTTGTTGCCATCATGCTTATAGTGATGGTAGAATTATCAGAGACAAGACGACGTGGTGGTGGAGGCAGATCTGGAGGCTCCCGTGGCTCAAGAGGCTCCAGATCAAGTCGATCGAGATCTAGATCTGGAAGATCCAGCTCAAAACCCAAAATCACCAAATACACACCAATCAAAGCCACCTCAGTTCGCTCCCCGGTGATTGTCAAACAAACTAAAGTGGGTTCGCGTTCAAGCACCTTCAAGAGAGTTGTCTTTGCTTACGCGGTGCACCGCTACGCGCCCAGCAATGCCCCTGTCTATCGGCAGGGATATCCAATGTACCGGAGTTATGTCTCCATCCCGAAGAAAAGAGCAGTGAGGGTTACCTTTGAGAGAGAAAGGCTGCTGGATGACAAAGGAGATTTGTGTTTGGATACATCAGCAGGGAGTCAAACTGTGAAGGAAGGAATCGACGACCATTTGGTTGACTTGAGAACCACGGTGAAGTACAAAAATGGAGAAACGAAAACACTACACGGAGTCGGCAAAACAGTGTCGCTGGAAGACATCAAGGATCAAGACTTTGAAGTTGTGAGCCTCGCCAGTTACGACATCATTATTGTGCCGGAAACAACTTGTACAAAGGTAGAGAAGACCGTCAAAGGTACGATGGTTACCATGTACGAGAAAAATCCGAACGGCTCAAACAGACTGAACATCAACAACATACTACTCTCAATCGTTATTACGTTGTTAATGTTTATGAATTAACATGTATTTCGTCACTGAAACAAGAGCGCTTATTTTTCGCGCTTATTTTTCGCTGGCATCAATATGTTCAGCCCGACTCAGAGTCATTTATTTGGCTTTTAGACTGCTGAAATCTCGAGCTCAGCTTGGAAAGTCAGTAACCTCTTTTAAAACTTCTAGTTTTTGATGCCACAAAATATAAATTATTAACGACCCTCAACTGAGGATGTTGTAGGATTATAAGTTGTACCATGATGATTTGCACGTGGCTATGCTAAATTTGGATTTGGCTTGTTTTTGCTTCGATTTTAGTAATCACATTAAATTTGTTTGATATGAAACGATTTCATTTCATAATTGTAGTTCATATGGGCTCCCTTTTTCGCGAAGTAAAGGATTGACTTCTGACCGCAGGAGATAGACCTACATACGCCATCGAGTAAAAAGATATGATGCAAAGCATGGGTTGTGGTCTTTCACTGTCACATTTATGAATTTCTTGTATTGTAATTAAAATATTATAATTTTTAAAAAAGTGTTGCGATCGAATTAAGGAACGGTTATTAATAGGCAACACGAAACATCACGCGAACTGGAAGGAAAAAAAAATCGAATAAGATCTGAGATTTTGTTGCGACACAAAATTTGTTACATAATGTCGTACATCAGTACATGACATTTTAAGGTATATGTGTCTTCCATGTTTGGAAACGAGGCGATTTTCAAAGTAACACAACTGGCAAAAGATTCACCTCGATACTCATTGGCGCCCTTCTTTACTGGATTTCTGCTGTCGTGCTTTAGTCCACGCTCGTAAGCGTGCGTTGAAAAAACAATTACGTATGTTGAAATGAATGTTTACGTCACAACGAAACGTATCCATTGACCAAAAGCATGAGCTCCTGCTGAAAGTTGTCCTATTTCCACTAACAGGTTTTTAAGGCGTTTAATTGCATCTTACGCACGTCTGCAATCGCAAGAGTACAGAGAAAAGTTCAACAGCTTCAATTTTTACGCGAGGGCCTGCGTTTTTCCCACGAAAAAAAAAGCGTGCTATTAATTTTAACGCAGCGGTGGAAATTGCGGACTCGGGTAACCTTTACGCACCTTTAACGTACGGAAAAACTCACGCGACACTGGAATCCAACTTTATGAGAGAGGGCGGGGAAAAAAGACGAATATTATTCAGTACGTAGTGTATGTAATAGTATGGACCTGAGAACTACCAAGGATTATAAGGACTATCATCACACGCATTCCTAAAGTTCTGACAAAATTTCCCAAGTCGCGAAGTGAGGAGGGCAATTTGTGGGACTTGGGTATATTTGTAAAGTTAATTGCGCAAGGGTATTTGGCATTACTTCTTGATGACATTTAGGCCAAGCTTCCTGAAAGAGTATTCCGAAACGCGAATTACGCTCGATGCTCATCCACGAAGCTTGCTTATTTTCGACTGAAATAGGTGACGATCGACTGGTGAGAGGCTGGCGATAGAACCGAGGTACAGTAGCCCTGTCGTCTTCAAATTTGTCTGACGTTTATAAATTCACTTCTTAGACAACAGAATCGGAAATTCTGAATGTGTAGTCTTGTAGTCTTTTTTGTCGAATGAACTCTCCTAAAAGTACAGTTTGGCCTTTTTAATCATATTGGAATTCAACATTGATTTAGTCTAAGGGAAGGTGCGTTTTTTCCTGGGGGGGGAGGGAAATGGGCCTCAGAGGGGAGGGTCACCAATGAAAGTTAGCACCAAAAGGGAAAAGGGGAGGGTCATATAGTTATCTTTGGTGAATAAACGGTTGTGAATATATGAAAGTCATATATTTGAACTGCGGATAAAGACGTGAATATGAAAGCGATCTTCGCAGTTATGAACACTACTTAAGTAGTAGTGAAAAGAAAGCCTCCCCTCCCCTCCCCTGAAAAAAATTCAGGCCTTCTTTTCACTACTGCTTAAGTAGCTAGTGTTCATAACTGCGAAGATCGCTTTCATATTCACATAAGTATCTTTGTAAGGTATTTTGTGCTTTTGCTTTCCGTTTTTATTACAGATTAAGTTTCTTTTCACCTACTTTGATTTAATTTGGTGTTTTTCATTATAGGTTTTAGTTTACATTGCTTCATGGATATTATGCCATGGCACATAATTTTCTCCGAGGACTAGTGTCCTTTTCCGTCCGTATTAGACTCAGTTATCGTTTTTTCAGCTTCTTGCTTCTGTTAACCATCCGCTGCCTGATCTCCTGATTCATTTAGTTCTGAAGAGTTACTTTTATATCCAACAATGCGCTCTACCCTGTCATTTTACCCTGTCAATTTGAGTCAGAGGCTGGCTGAATGTTGTTCTAACTTTCCTGCACAAAAGTAGTCAAAATCTTACTGCCAATATGTGCCTTCACCACCCTCACTTTCTCATCTTTCTTTCCTTTAAATGCAATATTCTAGTGATTAATATAAAGTTCAAGTTCACTTACTCTAAGGGATGACAACTGGCTTCTGCGATAGAGATCTTGCCAGTCAATGTCATTGTATCCCTGTTGCTTCCTTTCTGCGCGCTTCCTGTCATTATCTGTGGGCCGCTTATCTTTCCTCATTTCAATTATGTCAGTTAGATGCTCAATGTAATCTGCAACAAGCTTCTCTGAAACAATGTATTTTTCAGAAAACTCTTTGATTGCCTTTTTATCCCTTGCTTTGAGCTTACCCTCTTGAACCATCTGTTTTATTTAAGCTCGAGGCTGATAATCATCAGGTTTGCGGCCACTCGTAGGTGTTTTCGTACTTGGTTGGTAGTGATAGTCGGGAAGTTTGCTGCAATCGGGATAGGGTCGTGGAGTTGGTGTAGCTGGAGAAGGACTTACAAAGTCAGTTGCTCGACAGTATTCACATAGCTCGCCGTTTTTCTTTTGGCAAGACATTTTTCTGTACTCCGGATATAATTCCTCTTTCTCGCAGTGCTCCTCTTCGAAGGATGCTAGTTTAGCAAAATAGTCATGACCTGGAACAGTGTTTTTCTTATTGTTGGGAGCATCGTGATACTTCTTCATAAAATCGCGGTTATAGAAAATCATATCCTCTGGCTTATCCACCATCATTGCTGACATGTAACCCCGTGGCGCAGGGATTACAGCAACCACGGATACACAACCAAGGATGTGCCTTAAAACATCATTGCATTAATGTGCCTTAAAACAACATTGCATTGCATAACCACAGGCTTAAGTGCATTCTGACCACGCACAGTTTTAATGGGTTTGTCGGACAGTGCGCATGGGCTAAGCGTAACTATAGCCTATGAAAACAAACGTTGTTGATAAGTTCAAGTTACACTATTGTTGGTTCGTAAAAAAGGTTGTGGTTATTCATGGTGGTGAATAACAATAAAGGCTAGGTTTTTTCGTTTGTCTCACGATGAAGTCACGTGAGATGTAGATCGCGACGTTACGACTGCATACTGCTAGTCTTCTTAAGGCGATGAGGTCGACTGGTCATGCGTGATCTTATAAAGCATGATGCTCTGCTGTGATTAGTTTTTTTTTCAACAGCCCTGATTGGTGCATTTCGATCCTTGCTGTTTCACTCAGTGATTTGCTCCCTCGGCGAACCGCTTTTGCACGGCTCTCCTGTTGTTGTGTTTTTTGATCGTGAGCATCCACGCTCCTGGAATTTCTATTTCACTATCCCTGTTGATGTTGTTAGGGTGAAGTCTTATATGAATCGCCTCTTTGACCCTGCGCGTGTAGTAAGAAGGGCCACGATCAATAAACTTTACTTCGTTCCAGAGTGGCTTGTGTCCGGTGTTGTGGGCATGCTCTGAAACGGCGGAGGTCTCGGTACGGGCGAGTCGGATGTCTCTATCGTGCTCCTTAATTCTGTCTTGCATAGGTCTTCCACTCTCTCCGATGTACACCTTGCCGCATTCAAAGGGAATCCTGTAAACTACGCCATCTTGTTTAGCCGGGTCGACAGCGTCTTTTGATCGTACTAACTGAGATGTTGTAGGCAACGGCGAAGCTGTTCGGACAGACCTTTGACATAAAGTAAAACCGCAGTAGCTTTGAACTCGTTGGCGGGTTCGACGCTGTTGTTTGGTTTTCCGGTCTTGGTAAGTTTCTGCAAGAAACTATTGTTGTTGTCATACATGTTTTCTCTCAGAACTGCTAAAAGCATTGGAATTCACATTAGAGGCAATTCTGGTCTATAAATAGACATATTTTGATGACGACAATACAACCCTTGGAATTTTTTTTCAGTGATTACTTCTCTATGAATTAATTTGAAGAAAGTCGATGGTTTATCTTTAAGTCATTTGCTTCTCCATCATTTTCTTCGACATAAGGAAGTAGGCTATTGAACACTTATAATCTGAGTTACAAACTATTGCATGTCAGCTACTTTATGAACTGATACATGTCTTTTGTTGATTCATGTTTCAAGCACTTACGAATGATTTGTGAAATCTTGTTTGCAGGAGGTTGCACACCCGGTGAAGGAAAAATCGCGAGGGAAAACTGAGTTTAATCTCGATTATTAATGTCGTTGTCAACAAAGATGAGAATTGCTACAGTGTTTCTTGTTGCCATCGTTCTTCTTGCTATG